TTATATATTGGTTGATGATTGAATGAAATTCACTTATGTATGTCGTCATCAATGATGGAAATGATGGTGATCAATAATGAGTATCATCATATACATTAGATGACATCATCATCCAGGGAATAGGGAAAAAAACAAGAAAAAAAAAAAAGAAATGATGAGTAACTATATGAAATATGAAAAATGAAAATAAATATAAATAAATAAATGAAAATAAAAACCTTGGACTTATATCAATGTGTACTTTATATAAGTGAACGAGAGAGAGAGAGAGAGAGAATAATGGATGAGAGAAAAAGAATCAAATGATTATGGAATGGAAAAAAATGAATGGATGGATGGATGGATGGCTGCTGGGCCCACTACATTTTTTTTTATTTATGCCCACCATTCATTCATTCATTCATTTATTCATCCCCTTATATTGTTGCCTAGCCGTTGAAAACTCAATTTGTTCTTGTTGTTATTTTGTGTGTGTGTGTGTATGTGTGGATGGATGGATGGATGGATGGAAAGAAATTTTTTGGAAATAAGAATGGAACGAGTTATTTGTAATGAAACTGATGATGATGATCATCATCATCATCATCATAATCATCAGTGGCTGATTCGTTTTTTTTTCGCTTATGATGATGATGATGATGATGATTTATAATAATAAAATCTATTTATAAGAATTCTTGTATGAAAAAAAACGAACGAATGAATGAATGAATGAATTGGCCCAATTCAACATTTTAATGATAATGGAACAAACATTTGGAAAAGAATCGAGTTAACATCGATATGGGTGTTTTTTTGTGTGTATGTGTGTGTGGGTGTGTGCGAACAATAACAATGAATAACGAAGAGAGAAAGAAAAAAAACGAATAAATTCAAATGATAGACTTGTGTTATGTGTGTGTGTGTGTGTGTGGTTATATCAGATGTGAAATGTTCATTTTTATTTCTCACCATATGTGTGTGTGTGTGTGTGTGTGTGTGTGTTTGATGACTATAAATGAATGAATGAATGAATTGTACAATTTCGAATAAGAATAAGGAATTTTTCTTTTTCTTTTTTCTTTATTTTTTTTGAATCGAATCGTATTGAATTGAATTGAATTGAATCGAATGAATGAACAACACTTCCTTCCTGCCACAATAATGTTGTTTGATGATCAACATGATGATGATGATGATGATGAACATCAAAAATGATGTGATGTGATAATGATAATTATGACTAGTGAGAATGACAACACACATACACACACACACACAATGCAAAATGCACACACATATACAATATCTATTTAGATTTGGTTAAAAGATATGAAGTGAATTGAATCAATGATGATGATGATCCATGATTTGAATACAAATCTACAATAGATGTTTTCAAAACCATCATCATTGTTCTGTATGGTATGAGTTTTTTTTGTGTGTACGAAAAAAAAAATTCCATTCGGAATTTAAACAAGCCATCAGGCTATATGATCAGATATGGTTTATTTTTTCATGATAAAAATCATTTAATTCATTGTCAAAATGGTTGAAAATCAAGATTAGTTGAAAAAGAATGAGCGAAAAAACAGAATTTTTTTCCCGATTAAATCAACAACAACAACAATAATAAACAACAGTGTGGAATATTCTGTGTCCTTTTTTTCTGGGCATTATAGTAGCATTATTAATGGGCAAAAAAGATTTAAATCGACAACAAATTACAATTTTCATCATCAACATCAATGTGTATTTTAAATCTGAATTTGTTGTATATTTAAAACTCGATTTAAAGATTTTGTTACCATGAATGAATGAACGAATGAATACATGTATCGAATGTTTGTAACTCAATTATCGGAATTCTGTTGTTGTTGTTGTTACTAGAACGAGACACACACCAAGAATTAAGTGAGAATGTCCGGAAAAACATTAAATGCAATGGGTAGAAGGAATCATCATGTTTGAGTGATTTTTGTTTTCATCTTGTTGTTGTTGTTGTTGTTGACTTTTTTTTCGGAAAAAAGTCTAATTATAAAAAAAACAACAACAACAACAAAATTGACTTTTTGCTTTTGCTCGTTTCGAATGGATTTTATTTTTTGTGAAAAAAAGAAGAAAGATGAAATAAAATAAAATAAAAAACGAAATGGCAAATCTTTTTTCTTTCTTTCGTTTTTGCTTTTTTTTCACCGTTCTGATTTCATTTCATTTTCGTTATTTCGTTTCTTTGCTTAGTTAGTTATTTCACAAATATTTCTCCATCATTTCTCAATGATCGTTTCGATTTCGATTTTTTTTTCTTTGATTCCAAATTTAATTCAGTTCGGTATTTTCAACGGAAATCTAATAATGATAATGATGCCGATTCTTAGTATATACAGGCGAAGATTCTTCGAATGATGAGAAAAATCCAAACAGACAAACAAACAATCTATCTATCTATTTATATCACAATCACGTTGATTTTCGTTTTTTTTAGGTATTTGTGTGAGGTAGAATTTCGTTTGCTAATTTAAAATTGAAAATAAATAAAATCAAATCAAATTACATGAAAAATTCTGATGATGATGATGATGAAATCTGAAGATTAAATTGTAACAAATCAACAATCGTGAAATGGTAAATGAGAAATAGGAGAAGAAATATGCGAAATCGAAACAAAAAAAAAGAACAGCAAATCAGATGAACAATGTAATGATCTTTTCTGATCATAATAAACATTGTCAACGACAACAAAAACAAAAATCAAGAGAAAAAATAATGATTTTCACAATTATTTGGAAATTCCAAAAACCATAAAGAATTTCAGAATAATGGAAACAAAAAGAATCGAAGACAGAAAAAAAAAAATTATTGTTTGTTTTTAAATTCATTCTTTTCTCTCTTTCTCTCTCTCTTACCAAAAGCTTTTAAATTTTGAATTTCAATCATTCATCCATACATACACGAATAATAATAAGATTCTGGCCAAATTGTTAGCCTATGGATGAATCTAGCCCATTTCTTTCTTTATGTTTAAATTTACTGCAAAAAAGGACGATAACAACAACGACAACAACAACAACAAAAAAAACGAAATTAAATTCAAACTTGGAACAAAATAATCTAAAAAAATAGGGACACACGATCAACAAACACGACAACAACCATTGTATATAACATCTTCATTTTACATTTCAATATATTATAAAACTATATATTCAGTCAAAATGCGACTAAACAACAACAACAACAACAACAACAAAAAACGTCTTTTGACAAATTACCTCAAGTGAATTTTTTTTTCTCACTACAGAACAACAACAACAACAACTATTGGCAAATACTAACTATCCACTATATGGTGACATAAATAGAATTTAGAAAAAACAAAATTGATTTTTCGTATCGTTCATGGTTCTTTACAAATGATAGTGTGTATTGACTTTTCATATCCAACCTATTAGATAGATGGTTGATCCATCGTAATCGTTGCATAAAACTAGATAAATTTATCTTCAACTAAGCCATGAAATGATGATGGTGATGATGATGAAAGAAAATAAAACAACAATGTTCATATATGTGTTTGAAAATAAATGAGATCATCGAACGTCCTCTGTGTGTGTGTGTGTATGGTTAAATTAAATTTTTCTTTTCACATGTTTTATTATTTGAAAAAAAATTTGAAAAATTTTATTTCTTGATTGGAATTTTTATTTTTTTCTTATCGTAAAAAAAATGAAATTCCTATCTGGAAAGATCTCTTTTTTTTCTTCGAAGAGAGATAGACGATGTTTGACCTCAAAAATAAAATCGATCGATTTGGTATTTGTGGAATTGAGAAAATATCAGATGATCTTTGTGGGAAAAAAAAAATTTTCCATGCAATCATATGGTTTGATTATGAAGAAAAATTGGAAAAATTTTTTTCCGCTTTTTTTTGTATTTAAATTTTATTTTTCAAAATTGTAATTCGTGAGTTGTTTTACTGATGTTTGTTTTTTTTTCTTTTTCTAGATTTACGTCATGATTACCATAATCATCATCAAAACAGAAACATAGTTGCCAATCAAATTATCAAATGCCAAAATCATAATAATGATCATCATCATTATCAAAGTGATGATTTTGATCAAAATTTTATTCATCAACAATCATCATCATCATCATTATTATTAAAATTCTTATCAACAAAAAAACAAATTCCTCAAAGTGATTCATCAAATACAACAATATCAACATTATTAAGTCAAAATAGTCGACAACAAAAACCTCAATCAAATGCTAAAAGAAAGAATCGAATTAATGATGATGATGATCATCATCATATTGAAATGATGATTTACATACATCAAAATAAATACGAAATGAATAATAGTGATATGAAAAACAACAACAACAACAACGATAACGACCACTTGAATAATGATGGATCAATGATCCATGATCAAACAAAGCATCGTATCAAACGAACATTGATGTTATCTAAAAAACAAAAACACCATCAACAACAAAAGGCCAAAACATCATCATCAACATTGCCAATTGTTCAACGACAAACAACGTTGAATAATAATAATAATAATAATAATAAAGAATTCCAAATCATCATCAACAACAACAACAACAACAAGAAAGAACATGAAAACATTAAATATAAATTGCCTTATAAGAAAAGATCAAAGAATAAACACTTGAAATCATCATCATCATCATCATCGTTTTCTTCTTCAACGATATCGTCATCAAAAATGACAAAAGGAACAACGATAAAAACATTGAATAATGATAAACGGCGGAATATTCGTCGTTCATTGCAGCATAACAGCAATAATATTATGAATAAATCGATTATTCCTTCCTTTCGAATAGAACATCATGAATCTCAGAATGATGACAACATTGAAAAACATGATTCAACAAATCAAGAATTGAATAAAGAATCGAATAGGAAAAATACAGCAATGATGATGATGAAACCACCTTATGTTGCCATCGATGATAATAATGATGATTATGGTAAAATGTTTTCAAATCAAAATTTAAATGATAATGAATTTCATGGTGATAATAATCAAAATGAAGATTTTCCATTAAAAAATGTTAATTCTTCGTCTTCTACGTTGTCCATAATAAAACATTCACAACAATCCTCATCATCATCGAAATCAATGACAATACGACGAATGAATTCAATCGGTCATGATGATCCTGAAATGAAATATCAAAATATTACAGCACAAGTTGGCCATCCTGCCTATATGCCTTGTATTATTGATTCACTTGGTGATAAAATGGTTAGTTGATTGATTGTTTTCTTTATTTATTTATTTTAAAATTAATTCGTAACAAATTTTTTGGATATTTCTTCATCTGAAAATAATTAGGTTTCTTGGATTCGTTTACGTGATTTTCATCTATTAACAATTGGTACATTAACTTATATACAAGATGATCGTTTTGTCGTCCGTTATGGTGGTTATCAATCCAATGATTGGATTTTACAGATTAAACATGTTACAATCAAAGATGAAGGTATACAGAATACAATCTTAAAATTTGAAATAAATTCAATCGTTTTATATTCAATTATTTTTGAAATTTCAATAAATTTTATTTGGATTTTATTCGTAAAACACACACACACACACACAGAAAGAGGGAGGGAGAGTAAGAGATATGGAGTCAGTGATATGGTGAATAATAAATGTCATTACAATCAAATGCTCGTATAGAATCCCATGATTAAAAAGAAAGCTGCAATATAGCCAAGAAATGCTTCTAATAAACCACGATATGTCAGCACGCCTAGATAACCAAACGTATAAGCAATTTTTTTGCCATCAACAAGTCTTTCATAGAGATCATCAAATTTAAGTTTTAATCGTAAATCTTTACGACGTTTCAATTGTAATTGCATTGCTGGTATATTTTTTCTAATTGCATGATAATCTTTCGATACATTAGCCAATACTATGAATGGAATAAGACCAGTAAAAGCGTGCATAAACATCATAAATATAATAAAAATCGTGTTTCTGCTGTTAAATCTTCAAAAATCAATTCACACATAAATGTTACATTGATTGGTATGCTAACCAATGCATAATAGTATAGAGCCTGGCTCCATGCATCTGTATCGGCAAATACTGTATAATAACATAGTATATTATGTTGTCGATAAATGAATCGTAGTTCTTTCGATTCTTTCAAACCAATTTGTTTTCCACGGCGTAAATTTTCATATAATGATGAAAATTTTTGATTCAAATGATTTAATATATTATGAAATACTTGATATGGTGCCGTTATTGAACAGGACAGAAGCATTGAACATTGAAGTAATATAAGTAAAGTGGGTATGAACAAAATTATTTCGATAAACAACTGAAATTTTATAATCCACGAATTTCTTATCAAATCAGATGAAATTATATCAATAATAATCAAGTAATTGCAAATTATATAAACGATTGCTAATGAATAATAATTGGTTAGTCAAATTTTAATTCATGAATTTAACTAGAAACAAAAACTTACCAGTAAAAATATGAACAATAAAATTAAAAATATCAATAATCAATACGAATAACAAAACATCTGTACGACTTTTGATATTTGCATTTGGAAATAGACGCATTTTATTCTTATTTATAAACAATTTCTTATCAATACGATCCAATTCCAACCATGAATCAATCCAAACACGAATTGTTATTAATTTTTTCATGATAAATTCTGGAATCATCAACGATAATAAACGATGATCACGAACAAATTGCCGTTGATATTGATGAAAACGTGTAGACAATTTGTTTGCAACATTTTCATCCTTATCAAGACTTTTGTAATACTGGTCCGTATTATATACTATACAATCATAAAGAACTTGAAAACTAAGTGTATCAACACGTGAATAGAAAAATGTTTTAATGCCAAGCAAACCGGTCAATGTGAACAATATAATGAGGATCATGAAGAATTTATTGAAAATTTTTCGATTTTTCCAAAAATATTCCGACATATAATCAAATTCATAAAGTGGAAATTGTTCCGAATCCAAATACATTAAACTGATGAACAATCCACGTATTAACCAAAAGAGATAAAGGATAACTTCCAGATTATGTGATATCCGATATTGACGGGTATCATGTTGATCAACAATATGCTTCATTGCATTGTAGATGTAATGTCGAATTTGAAGAGACATTTTTTTTCTTTTGATCAAACAAACCTTGATATTCGTTCAATTTGAAACATAGAAATCGGATGAAATTCAAAGAATTGGTTTTCAAAAAATGAAGAAAAAATTTGAATTTTCTTTTTGAACCAAATTCAAAATGTAAATTATGATTAACATAAATATAATTTTTTTTTGCTTTTGTGCAAACTTATTATGAATGTAATTTTTGTGGAAAAAATTTTCATAATTCTTAGCTATTTTCTCAATTTCGTCAATTTTCTTCAATTTTAAAAATAGAAACCATTTGAATTCGATTTCTGAGAGATCAATATGTTAGTTACGCAATCTAGAGAGAGAGAGAGAGAAAATTCCATTATCCAAATATACGTACTATATGAGTAGAAACAATGATGATGATCACGAAAATGACGACCGGATTCTCAAAACATTTTCAACACATCTAAAGTTTCGAATGAAATAAAATGATTTCTGTGTCTGTGTCTTTTTGATCAAATTGATTTTTATTCACTTTTTTTTAATGTTTTGATGCCATAATAATAATAATGGATAATGGATAAATGGATGAAAGAAACTTCAATTTCAATTTTTTCTTTCACCATTTCATTTACAATTTCTAACCTGCAAAAATTTAACCTATGAAAAACTTTTACGTCATTGTACTACATCCCATATATGAATAATATTGATAGCTAATGATAAAACGAATTTATTTTGAAAAATTGTCATTGTTGCTCAAAAACATTTCGTGTTGTTCTCCAAATTTTTTTTCCAACTCAGGTTACTTTTCGAAATTTGTTTTTCTGTCTTTGTTTCCGGAGAAATTTTCAAATCGAATCGAATCGAATCTGATCGTAATTCGCAATTTCAAAACAAATGTTTATTTTTTTGCTGTTGTTAACCGTTTTTTTTTCCATTTCACATTCTGGTTCAGTTTTTTTTTCTCACTAATATGCAGAATAAATGAATTTTCATTCGTTTTTTCCCAAGTTTATCACTTGAATATACTGTTTTCATTTTGATTTGGTTCGATATTGAATAAAATCAAAAAAAAAAAAACAAAATTGGTTCCATGAATAAAATATCCACCTAGTGAATAAATCTGGTTTTGCAATTTATTTTTTTTTTGCTTGCTTGCCATGCATATAATAGTCTGATGATGATGATGATGATGATACTATTCATCGATTCATTTTTGAATCCATTTCATTCATTCAAAATAATGAAATTGAAATTGGAGTACAGCGGCTGTGCCATCACCATCATCAAGTTTTCATTTCTTTGGTTTGAATAAAAAGTTAAATTACCATTTTTTTTTCTTGGAAATACGAAAACAAAAACTCAAATGACAATGATGATGATGATGGTGTTTGGTGAATAATAAGAATCCAATTTTTCTGTCTTGAGTTTGATTTTTTTCAGTTTCATTGAAATCTATCTATTTATCTGTTTCCGTGGATGAAATAGAAACCGAAACAACAACAACCGCAATGATATTTGCCACATTGAAAGATGAATGCATCAAATTGATTTGATTTCAATTTTTGGTCATCCAGTTTCATCGAAAGAATCGAAAAAATTCAAAAGAATCTAAATAATAGAAACAAAACAGAACAAAAAATAAGAGAATCTTCACCCACTCATTCATTCCATTTTTTTTGTGTGTGTGTGTGTGATCAAATGAACAACAACGATAATTCGTATATGTTTTTTTTTCGCTACCCCACTATCCAGTCTTCTTTATTCCACTTATGTTCTAGTTATCTCTCGAGAAAAAAAAACAACAAATTTTTTTGTCTTTATATTCCAAAAGATTCTTATTGTATCCGGAAAAAAAAAAAATACTAAAAAGATTCTAAATTCTAAGAATTCATTCATCAATCCTGTTGTTGTCGCTGGATTCTTATATGTGAACGAATTCTTTTCCGATTGTCATCATTATTACCATTACAGATTATATTATTATTATTATGAGAGCAATTTTTTCTCATTTTGGTCCCGAAAAAAACCTTCTCTGGGCCACTATATTGGCAGTGCCAAGTGATGATGATTGAGGGAAAACGAGAAAAAAAATGGAAAATGGAACTAAATATAATGAGATAAAACTTCATTACCTAAAAAAAATTTATCCATAAAAGAAAACAAAAACTAAATGGAATGGGGAATCATCATCTTTATTTTAGCTTTTTTTCTGGTTTAGTTTTCAAGTCAGAAAAAGGACATTTTAACTGGAAAAAAATTGTCTTTGTCTCGACGATTGTCAATCGATCCAATCAATGTATCCATTGCCGTTTCCATGTTATTCTCATTATTATCATTGACATGAATGAATGAATGGATGGGCCTTTTGTGGAACATAAAGTATCCGAACAAAACAAAACAAAAAACAAAATGAAATGAAAACAAGTTGTGGGTAAATAAAAACCATTTCCGTTTTTTTGTTGTTGTCCTCACACACTTGTTATCAAAAAAAAAAAAAAAAAAAAAAAGATAATCCGAAAACAAAATAAAAAAACGGAGATGTCGAAATTTTCCACATATTGAATGTTTGGAGATTATTATTTTTTTTCAACAAGAATAATCATTGAACAATAATAATGAAGAAAAATGCAATGAGGTGAAGCTTGCTTTTTTTTTTGCTATTACGACTATTTATTTTTATCCCGGTTTTTTGCTTTTGTTTTTGTTTTTGTTTTGTTTTGTCAACAAACATTGTTGTTGTTGTTGTTGTTGTTTATCGAGTTTATTCAAGCTTAAACCAAAATCTAGCTTCTGTTTTGATTATATCCGGATCTTAAACAATCGACTGATTGACCGGTTCACTATAACAACAACAACAACAACAACAACAGCAACCAAACAAGAAAATAATGAAAATGAACAAAGAAAATTCACATTGAAAATGTGTTTGCTTGAAACAAAAACTAAAACGGAAAAAAACCAGAAAACACACTGGTTATTCTGTATTCAATGAAGCAATATTGCAACAACTATGATCAACTAACTAACAACAAAAACAACGACGACAACAACAACAAGCAATCAAGCATAGCCTAATACAACTATACTATATGAGAATGTGTTTTATTCAGAAAGAAAAAAAAATAACAAGTCTTAATAATAACTCATTAACTTGAAATGAAAATGTTTGGATGTAGGTCAAAATGAGAAAACCGAAACACCGAAACCAAATGACCGATTGGCGTGAAAGGAGTGAAAAAAATAACATTTTTGTGTCAATTGACGATAATTGACATATAAAATGACGGAGCAGAAATAAGGAAATTAACTGATCATGCGTCTGTGAAATGAGTTTATACACACTACCAAATCAAATCAATGCGTAATTTATACGATGTATATAAACATTGTCACATCATTGGAACCAAATATTTTCTGGTTACTACAGTCAGTTTATAGCCAACGTGTGTCTGTGTGTGTGTGTGTCAGAATCGTCATACCCTTTTTTTTATTTTCTTTTATTCTACTGCTACTATTAGTAGCCGTGTAGATCATTTTTCATTTGGTTTTTCATTTCACATTTTATTATTGAATTTCATCATCTATAATTAATCATCAAGAATATTGCTACTACTGCTGATGCTATTGCTTGTTGTTGTTGTTGTTGTTGTTTTACAATGTGTTGTTGTTGTTGTTTTATATGAGTAAAAAAATGCCTCTAACTTTCTTAAACAAAAAATATATATATATCTAACATGCCAGTATCAGAATTGTTGTTGTTGTTGTTGTTGTCGTCGTCTGGTTGTATTGCATTTTCTATTTTTCTTGTACATTTATGGTTAGTTAGTTTACTTTTCTATTTTACGGGTTATTGTTGTTTAAATTATTTTCTCTGTATACATATTTACACACATTCTTATTGGTATTTGAAAGTTTTTTTTCTTTCATTTTTGTTGTTGTTGTCGTTGCTGCTGCTGTTGGTATCAAGAAGTTTTTCATTTTTTTTCCATCATCATCATCATTATCATTCCATCATTTTGTAGATGAAAAAAGCGTAGCATTTTTTTGTTTTGTTTTGTTTTGTTCTTGGTGGTTCAATCTTCACCATCATCACTCATATCATGGTCAGCAAATGGTCAGCAACATTTGTGTGTTCGAATGAAAACCAAAAAAGAATAAATAAAACAACAAATTGCACAATATCATTCTGAGATGGAAAAAACATTTTGTGAGAGAAAAAAAAATAAAGTTTAATTATAATTATTATCATTATTATTTTTCCCAATAGACCCGTTGACCACTGTGGTCCACTCTGTGTATTTTTTTTTTTTTTACATTTGTTTTTGTTGAACGCATACACATCTACCCACACACACACACACACCAACAGATACACAGACATGGTTATAATAATAATTTTCTAATTCTAAACTAATTTATTTCCATCATACACACAGTATCAAATGACCAGACAGAATTAAATAGACATATAAAATGTGTCCGTATATGATTACAGAATAAGAATTTATTCAGATTTTTTTTTATTATTTCTTGTTTGTAAAAAACAAAAGGGTTGGCTTTTCTTACATAACCGGTGTTGTTGTTGTTTTTTTTCCACTATGGTTTGTTGATTCAATCGTTGGCCATTTTTTTATTTATGAACAATCCAATTGGGAATGAATTTTATACCATTTTGGCCAACCAAGATTATTTTTCTTAATGCATATGTTTGTTTGTTTGTTTGTATGTATGTCATGCATATGTTTTGGTTGTGTGCAATATATAAATGAAACCAGAATGGAAATCATATACATCCATAGATTCATCTATCTTCATGATGATATCATTGGTTTTTTTGTTTCATTTATTATCTTTCATTCTGGTCAGTGTGTGTGTGTGTGTGTGTGTGTGTGTGTGTGTTTAGTGTCAGGGTGTTTTTTTTTTCATTCAAAATGAATGTATGTAATGTGTAATTTGTTCATGATTGTGATAGATTCAATGAATTTTTATCACTGGCAAAAAAAAAAAAAAGTATGGTAAATATTCAATTTGTCGATTCATTTCAATTTCAATTTTCGTTTCAGGTTCATCGATTCTTTCTTCTTTTTTTGTTGTTCATTATCTATTAGTTTAGTTTCAATTTAGTTTCATTTCATTTAGTCCAGAAAAACAACAACAACAACAGCATAGTCATTTATTGTATATTCTAGTTAAAGCGGACAATTAAAAACATTGAATGTTCAATTAGCTTGGCAAACCCCTGATTCTGACAAACGCAACGAACACACTGCACGAAACAATTATAACAGCCGATTTGGATACGAATTAAAGCGAATATAAAAAAAAACGCCAGCAACAATGAATGAATGAATGAATAATTGAATGAATTCATTTGAAACAAGACGAAAAAAAACGATATAAGAATAATGATAATGTAAGATAATAAGACAGCAGCAGTCTGTATGGCAGTGTATTTTCATTCTCTCTCTCTCTCTAACTGGGTGTGATATTTTGTGTGCATGTGGATTCTAGATATAAAGAGTGAAAATAAAAAAAATTCTTGCACAAAAGATAAATTATTATTATATTCGTCGTCGTTGTTGTTGTTGTCGTTGTTGTTGTTGTTTCAACATTTCACATTTCAAGTAAATAGAATAAAATTCAATTTTTCTCTCTCTCTCTCTCTCTCTCTTTGGAACATGAAAACATTTGGCCTTAAACATCAAACATTTGAACATTGGCAATGACAAAATACAAAATGCGCATTCAAATTGAAATCTTTTCCATTATCTTATTTTGTTTTGTTTTGTTTGACAATTTTCTTTTCTCCCTTTTTTGATTTGCCAATGCATGTGTTTTTTTTCTAGTCCATTTTAAAAATACAAAATAACTTGATGTCTAATATTTTTTCTGTCATTTTTTTTCTGTTTTCGTTTCGTTTATTGTTATTCTAGGTCTATACGAATGTCAAATCAATTCGGATCCACCAAAAAGCCAGTAAGTTATTGAACAAATTATTACAATGAAATTATAACAACTGATTCGACCAACATTTTTAGCCATTGTTTTTTTTCCATATATGATTTTAATAGTGAAAGAAACAAAAAAACTTTCTGTTTCTGATTTCAGAAATAAAAAGGGTTATTGTCTGTGTGTGTGTGTGTGTGTGCATGTGTCTGGTTGGTATATCAAATAACACTATGACCGATAACAGAATGAAAATGACAACGTAAAAGAATCAAGATAAAAAGATAACCATGAGTTTGTGTGTGTGTGTGTGTGTGTGTCACTGATCATTCTGAGTCCATTATTCAGTTGATTTCAGTAACTACAACATATAACAACAACAACAACAACAAATGAATGAATCTCGGTCTTGTTACTGTTGTTGTTGTTACTGTTGTTGTAATTGTTGTTGTTATTCGAACTAAAATGTAATCTCAATTATTCAAATTTGAAACAAAAAAAAAAAAACGAAAAAAAAAAAAATGCAATTTGTTTAAGTGATTCATGATTCTATTGTGCGCATCCATCCAATTATATATATCAACGACAACGACAACCATGATGATGATGATGATGATGATGATGACCCCATGATATGGTGAATGATAACAACGAATAGAAACAGACAATGTATAACAAGCCAAAAAATCCCTTCATAGAAAAAAAAACGAGACAAAACTTTTTTCCAAAATAAAAACAAAAATCGAATCGGAAAAAAAACTATTTAAATTGTTCATTAAAAACAACAAATATCTATATGAAAATCATCATCATCATCATCATCATTGATAGAATTTCGATTTTTTTTCATATATTTAAAATTCCAGTAAACAAACAAACAAAAAAAAAGAATCCAAGAATCCAAGTCCCCAAGTGAATTTGAATATTCGATTTTTTTTTTTGTGTTTTTTTTGTTTGTTTGTTTCGTTTTGTTTATTTTTTTTTTTTTTTAATAATAATGATGATGACGAACAAACAAACAAACATGCACCATGAATTAAAACTTTCAATTTTCGTTCACCATTCATTGATTTGATGATATAAATTTGCATCCAACTAATGTTACTTTTTCTTCATTTTTTTCTCCATTACTTGTCAATCATAGATATTTTTACTTGCACATTGTCGGTATGTATTTGATATTCTTACCTCATGGGCAATAAATAAATAAATAAATGATTTATTTATTTGTTTGTTTGTTTGTTATCACCCGAAAATCATACAGTTCCTGTTACAGAAATTATTGGCAATCCAAACATTTTTGTACGTCTTGGTGAATCAATCAATCTGACCTGTTTAATAACACAATCACCTGAACCACCGGCATTTGTATTCTGGTATCACAATGAACGTATGATTAATTATGATTACACTGAAACGGATGATGGACGTATTATAGTGCAAAAAAGTGCCGAACAAAATGATGTTATCATATCACGTTTAATGATCAATAAAGCTAAATTAGATTCAAGTGGTAATTATACTTGTACACCAAGTAATGCTGAACCAGCATCAACATATGTACATGTTTTACAAGGTACGTCTCTCCATTCTTTTTTTTTTTTTTTGTTTCTATTTACCAAAGTGTTCGCCATTGACCTTGTGTTCACATTTGATATGGAACAATCAAGAATTAAAGCCTGTCGTTCTTTTTTTTTCTCTCTCTCTCTCTCTCTCACTTATCATCACTTTGACATGATAATGACAATCTCATGATCTAACGGTTTATAAAAAAAAAATGTCGGATCAATTGAAAAAATGAAGATGTAGAAAAAAATAAAAATAAATCCAAAATCAATGAGAATGGTAATCATAATGGTTGATTGATTACCACTTTACCTATGCATTTTTACTACCTTTTTATATACAATAATGGAATTATATTAAAATCTCTCATGCGTGTGTAGATATCAAACATTGCACAATTGATAAAGTTTTTTTTTTTTTATTTTCATTTTATTGATATTGTGAATGTCGATTTAAAACATCATAATAAAATCTATGTGTGTGTGTGTGTGTGTGTGTGTGTGTGTGTGTGTGTGTGTGTGTGAATATTCTACTGATATATATCTGACAATTTAAGATTGCAAACATTCAAATCTGGGTCTATAATTTTTTTTTCTCTATTTCTACATCTTTCTTGTTTGTTCTTTTTTTTATCAATTGTTATTATTGTATGTGTAATGTTCCTGTAAATTTATATCCCGGATCATGATGATGATGATGATCAGTATTGATGTATTGAAGTTGTAGAAGAATCACGAAAAAAAAAAAAAATTCCATCATATTGTGGACAACATTAACTCATCCGTTGATGATGATGATGATGATGATGGCGATTATGTGTGTGTATGAATCGATTTAGCCAAAAGAAAAACGAGATAAAGTTGTTCATAAAGAGAAGAAGAACAAAAAAAATTCCGTTATAAATGTGACAATACATAATGACACATCATCTTTGTACTGTTTCATCAATTCGTATTGAATCATAAAACGAACAAAACGAAAAAAAAATTGGTTTGTAATAAAGAGAGAAAAAAACAGTGAAATTATCTCCAGAAATAGATAATAAAACTTTTTTTTTTTATTCTCAAACTGCTACCACCACCACCACCACCACTGCTATCATTGAATCATACCAATTTTTCAGTTCTCCAGGGATCTAGAGATGTCGAAAATAATATGCAAGATTCGTAGTTTCTTTTACCGCTTTTTATGTTCATCATCAATGATTTTGGATTTTTTGTTTCTTTGATTGTCGGCATCCTGTAATGGTACTGTAGGGGTCTGTAAAAAAAATCATGAAAAACCAAAATTTTTCTGATCAAAGCGAATGAGGAAAAAAAATCTAATCAGAATGGAAACGAATCTGAATTTTTTTTTTCTAAATGTAAAATTCAAACACACACACGCACACACAATGATGCTTAACAGGATGAAATGCCAACATCCTGTACAACATGCATACACACACACACATAGAAGATAGATTGAATTGTGAATATAGTGCTGAATATAAATGATTGATTTTTCCACACGAATAAACACCACTGCAATCATCATAGTCATATATATAATCAAATCATCAGCATTATTTTTTTTTTTTTTATTATTATTTAATATCATCAATTGAAAATCTAAAACTGAAAACTACATTTTGCGTGTGTGTGTGTGTGTGTGTGACATCGTTTTTTTCCTGTCTATTGGTGAATATTATATAATATATGCATTCGATTCGATATTTGTGTGATAATCAATGAATGAAATGGATATGTCAAAAAATACAGAATAAAATAGAAAAAAAAATACAAAATGAGAAAACGAGAATCGTATCATTTTGTTAGAATCCATCATCATTATTATCATAGACATAGTAATCGTGTCAATACATGAAATTATTGTTATTATTTTTTTGGCCATCGATTTTATTTTCATGATAAAAAAAATGAAATTAAATCAAAAAAAAAAATCAGTATTGACATCGGTGTTGGTGTAATTTGAATCATTATGATTTAAAGAATATTCCATATTCTGGGCGTTGACCATCATCATCATCATCATTGTTATTTCTATTTGTAATTATGTTAAACACACACACACACACACAGAGTTAGATGGTAGTTAAATGATTAATTTTACTTCAAGTTTGATTTGTTCTTATTTGATGATGATGAATATCCCGCTGGTTCTTTTTTTTTGTTTCGTTCTGGTTTCAATTGTATGAGATTCTTTGATATATACAATAAAAACACACCTGTTTTGACGTTAGAAAAATGACGCCCATTTCTTTTTTATTTGCAAACATGTTATTCATGATTAAATTAAATGAGAATATCTTTTAATAAATGGGCGGCGAACATTTAGTAACAAATTCTTTCGGTATGAATGTTTTTTGTTTTTATTTTGACCCACATCTCACCACAATTATTTGATTGATTGAATTTATTTGAAATGAAATTTTTTTCCATTTTATCTCATTTTTCTCTTTTTCTTTTTTCTTTTTATTCAATTTATCAAATATATAGGTGAAAAACGACTATCGAATGATGTTCAAAATGATTGGAATCAACAAACATTAGACATGACAATTACAACACAGCAAAAAAGTGCCACCAATTCAGAGGGTCATCATTCAGGATCAATATCAACAACAATTTATCATCATCATCATCATCAAAGACGATTATCATGTTACATTATTACTATTTTCGATTCTGGCATTGTCATCATCATTATTTCAATAATTTCGATGCTCAATGAATTTTTATTCCTACAATATTAATGCATCAAATGTGTAAATATATAGATACAAAAAAAAACATTCGATGTATGTGAGATCATTATTCATTCATTCACCATTGACCATACCACGTATACGATAAGAGAGAAGATAATAAACCAACCAACCAAATGGCCATTTCTCATATTCTCTCAAAATTCTATAACCATCTTATTATTTTTTATTTCCTGCAAACTGTGTAAATAAAACTGTAAATGATAATAATTCATTTTTTTTTTTTGAAATATGAAACAAACACCACATTCATTTGATTGCTCATTTTTATTCAGAATATATCCAAATATTGTTTCAAAATGTTGTTTTTTTTGTGGTTTCAAACGTCAATACAACTCAATATAAAAATAATACTGATGTGATGATGAACCAATTTTTCAACAATCCAGAAAAACTTTTACACACACCACACACACACACACAATGGTAACAAAACAAAACAAACAATAACCAATGTCAATGAATGTCTAAGGTCAATGAAGAAAGAAAGAAAATGAAAAAAATTGTGAATGCAATGTTAAAACCATTCACACACCACTTCCATTACCAATGCCAGTCAAAAACATGTAAATATATATTTTTTTGTTGTTGTTGTTGTTGGATGTTCAAAAATGTTTCAAACAAAAATTCATATTCTAAACATGTGTTTTTTATGTTTTATTTTTTTTTTTTTTTTTTTTTTTTTTTTTTGAAGAATCGAAAAAAACATCATTGTTGTTGTTGTTGCTGTTGTATAAAAACGAAGAAAGAAAGAATATTCTTAATTCTGTCATTAATAATGTTATTCCTTATATTTATGAATTTATATGAATGTATAAAATGGAATTTTATTTATTAAACAGATAACAATGTGTGTGTGTCTATGTTTATTTATTCAAAAAGAATATATTTTCATTTCTTCTTTGCTTTTTTTTTGAATTTTGATTCGGACGAGTGATCCATTTCAAATCAGTGTAATTTTCAAAAATTTTTTTTTCATAATCATGGCTTAAACAGATGATGATGATGGTGGTGGTGGTGGTGGTTAATGGCGTCATTCAGTACACATTATTATCATCATCATCATTTTCATTCATTGAAAATGTTCTAATAACAAATGGAAATGAAAAACGAATTCAATATAAATTCTGTGCAAAAAAATTTGTAACATTAAATTCTTGCCATTTTGAGTTCTGTTGTTCGGGTAAACAAAAAAATTTATTGTTTTAAAAAGAATTTTTTTTTTTTTTTATTCTTACCTGAATAAATGGGTTGGGTTGTCGGTCAGATTTTGATTCAAAAAAAAAAAAAAATTTCATTTCACAATCATTAGATTGCCATATCATCATCCTTAATACATGTCTATTATGTGGTTTGGATTTATTTCTCTCCTCATTTAGATTATCATTATCATCAATCCGCATGACAATAATAAGAAAAATTTATTTTTTAAATTTCTTTAAAGATTATTACCATAACAATTATTATATGAAAATTGCAAACTATTTCTGCGTAGGTATTGTCTTTGTTATTTTTTTTCTTACCAAAAATGAATCTTTCAATTCTTTTTAAAACTTTTTTTTTCTTCTATTTCATTGTGATTATCAATTCTTATTTTATTTTACAATCAACAGGTATGTTGAAAATTGGAAAAAAACTTGAAAATCTTATGAATATATTTTTTTATGATTAAAATTCATTTTCTCGTTTAGAAATATTAAAAGATGATGATTGTAGAGATGGAGAATATCATAACGGTACAAAGTGCATTTGTTTACCTGAATTTAAAAACATATCAGGTGAATGTCAACCAAGATTTGGCTCTTGCAATAAAACAAGCGATTGTCGTCATAAATTCGAATGTTTTGAAAATTTTTGTAAACCGGATTGTGGGTTTAATGAAAAGAATGGAAACGACTCATGTGAATTTGGTTGTCAAGAAACCTATCACAAGAAATCTTGTATTCCATTTGTAAGATGCAATCCAAATAAAGATTGTTTCGGCGAACAAAAATGTTCATCTGAAGGTAATTGTGAATGTTTTTCAGGCTTACCGGATGAAAATTACTATTGTCCGGATTTGAACATAATGACTACGAATACTACAGAGTCAATGATGACCAGCTCTGTAGAAACAAAGACAACGGATGCTACAGAGCCAATGATGACCAGCTCTGTAGAAACAAAGACAACGGATGCTACAGAGCCAATGATGACCAGCACTGTAGAAACAAACACGACGGATACTACAAAAACAATAACAAATAACTTTTACGAATTCAAATTTTGGAGTGGGAGTTGGGGTTGGGCTATTATCATTCTCATTATCATTGTCATCATTTCAATATTTATTTATATTTATAAACCTTGGAATAGAAGAAAAAATCAACAAAGTAATCAAAAACAATCAGGTATATACTTTTTGTTGCATTCATTTTCATTACATAAAGATTAATTACAATAATGAAATTTTATTGTTTCTAGTATCTATCGAATTGTCACAATTTGAAAAGTTGAATTCACCTGTAAATCAGTCAAGAGAAAACGATTATGATATAGTAGATGATAACAATAATGAAACTAATGAACCTTTTCTTCCATCTAAGGAGAGCTCAAGCGCGGCTCGTTGTCGCTTTTATTTTGGTTCATAATTATTATTAATTTCCTGCCACTATGAAAAGATGTAAATCATCTTTATTAATAAATTTTGAATTTTAATCATTATTAAAAACATATTCATAATTGCTGCAGATTGATTGTTCCATAATTAATTGGATTGTTTGTTTGTTTGTTTTTTTTCATATTGAATTAGCTCTTAACAATTCAGCATTATAACTATTTTTAATCATCGAATTAGAAGTCATCATCATTACAAAAAATCGAAAATTCAAATTCACTTGAAGTATGAATTTTTCTTTTATTTCGGACATTTTTTTCAATCGATATTTAATTTGTCATCTGCACGTTTTATATACAGGATCATCATGGATTTTCAGATTTTTTTTTTGTTGTTTGATTATAAAAAGAATTCAAAATTCATCTATATAGACACAAATTGTTCGTCAATGTAGAAAACTGTTTACATGCATGTGTGCGACAGTCGTCGATTCAATTGAATGTGTTGATGATGATGAGCAATACGTGAATGAGCTATATATGTATATGTATTTGTGCATCGGACACGTTTCTTTGCTTTTACGAGTGTTTCAATGTGATCCAATTTTTTTTTCTTTGATGAAATTTCCACCATTTCTTACATCATCTTTTTCTTTTAGATATTATTATAGTTTTCATTATAAATTTCCAAAACAATATCATTATATCATCACACATAAACTTCAATATATTCAATCTCGAAAATTTCATCGATTTTCAGTGGTAAGTATGAGTTTTTTTTTCTTATTTTCATATCTGATTGTTATTTTCGTTTTCTCTATTCATTTTCATTATCGAAAGAATTATAAAATGGCAGCCGAAGTAGAACAAAAGATTAGCAATATGACATTGAATGATTTAAATCCACAACCGGATTTCATCGCTAAACGTTTAGTATTATGGGAACAATTCAAAAAACGTTATGAAGCTGAATTGGCCGATAATCAAAACAAAAGCATTGAAATCACTATTAATGCTAAGAATAAAGATGGTGAAACAAGAGAAATAAAGGGTAATAGTTGGAAAATCAGCCCGATCGATGTGGCTAGACAGATTTGTCCGAAGTCATTTTGTGATACGTTGGTCATATCCAAAGTTAATGGTGCACTTTGGGATCTGGAACGTCCACTTGAAGCCAATTGTAATTTAGAATTTTTAACCTTTGACAGTTTGGAAGGTATTTTATATTGAATGAAGAATTTTTTTTTACTAAATTGAATCCATTGTTTTGATAGGAAAACAAGTATTCTGGCATTCGACGGCACATATTTTGGGTGAAGCATTGGAAAAAATTTATGGTGGTCATCTTTGCTATGGGCCACCAATTGAAAATGGTTTCTATTATGACATGTATTCATCAGGCTGTTGTAGTGGTGATATCGATCTTAGCGCTGTTACACAGGCTCATTATCCATCTATTGAGAATTCAATGAAATCAATTTGTAACGAAAAACAACCATTCGAACGTTTAGAATTGACCAAAGACGAATTGTTAGAAATGTTCGCCTATAATCAATTTAAAGTTCGTATTTTGAAAGAAAAAGTTAAAGATCCCAAAACTACCGTTTATCGTTGTGGTAGTCTAATTGATCTTTGTCGTGGACCGCACGTAAGACATACGGGATTTGTCAAAGCATTCAAAGTGACCAAGGTAATTTTTGTGAAGTTTTTATGGCTTTTCATCAATTTTTTTTTGTTAAACCATTAGTCATCATCATCATATTGGGAAGGAAAAGCTGATGCAGAAGCATTGCAACGAGTTTATGGTATTTCATTTCCGGATTCAAAACAATTAAAAGAATGGCAAAGATTTCAAGAAGAAGCGGCCAAGAGAGACCATCGAAAAATTGGTCGTGAACAAGGTCTTTTCTTTTTCCATGAACTTAGTCCAGGATCATGTTTTTTCACTCCACGCGGAGCATTCATTTACAACACTTTAATTGATTATATAAGGGTAATTTTGATTTGAGAAAAATTAATCGATAATATTCATTTATAAAATAAATTAATCCCTAGAGTGAATATCGTAAACGTGGTTTCCAGGAAGTTGTTTCGCCCAATATTTTCAATATGAAATTATGGCATATTTCTGGTCATGCTGAACATTATGCTGATAATATGTTTCAATTTGAATTGGAAAAAGAGAAATTTGGTCTCAAACCAATGAATTGTCCTGGTCACTGTTTAATATTCGATTCAGATATTCGTTCATGGCGTGATCTACCATTTCGTTTGGCCGATTTTGGTGTATTACATCGTAACGAATTATCGGGAGCATTAACCGGTTTGACACGTGTTCGTCGATTTCAACAAGATGACGCCCATATATTCTGTACTATTGATCAGATTAACAAAGAAATACGTGGCGCGTTAGACTTTTTAAATGCCGTCTATTCACTTTTTGGTTTCACTTTTGATCTTTGCTTATCGACTCGGCCTGAAGGTTATCTAGGCGAACTAGCTGTTTGGGATCAAGCCGAAAAAGCTTTGGCCGATGCATTGAATGAATCGGGTATACCATGGAAATTAAATCCCGGTGATGGTGCATTTTATGGCCCTAAAATTGATATCACCATTAATGATGCATTACGTCGTCCACATCAATGTGCAACGATTCAATTAGATTTTCAATTACCCATTCGATTTAATCTTAATTATTCGGCTGAAGATGGAACAAAAAAACGTCCTGTTATTATTCATCGAGCAATTTTAGGTTCGGTTGAACGATTTATTGCCATCTTAACGGAAAATTTTGCTGGAAAATGGTATTAATATCATTACTTTTTATACTGAAAAAAGATTCGATGTTTAAATGATTTTTATCATATTTCTATTTTTTCATTATTTTCTTTAGGCCATTTTGGCTGTCACCCAGACAAGCTATTGTTCTTCCTGTTGGACCAAGTTGTAATGAATATGCTGAAAAAGTACGACAACAGCTACATGATGCTGGATTTCAATCTGCTTGTGAACTGGATCCAGGTCTAACCATTAATAAAAAAGTACGTAATGCACAATTGGCACAATTCAATTTTATTTTGGTGGTCGGTGATAAAGAATCAGCAAACAATACGGTCAATGTACGTACTCGGGATAATAAGATTCATGGTGAAATTTCCATTCTAGATTTGATTGAAAAATTTCAACAATTCAAAAAAGAAAAAACGATCAATGCAGAAGAAATTTTTTAAATTTATTATATCAATTATTAAAAAAAAATTTATTATTATTATCACAATCGTATTACAAATTATTTGTAATTTTTAAAAATTGAACTCTAAAATTTTCCAATAAACGATTAATATATGTTTGTGAATTATGTATTTGTCGATTTTGTTTAGCATTTTGTTTTTGGTTAGCATGTTCATTGTCATGCATAACTGTAATATGTGGAATTTTAGCTGGATTGTTCCAAAATTCGAACAATTCATTATGACATTTAAATCGATGTGTCAATTCAATGGCAGTAATAGCTTTAGTGCTATCGGTAAACGATAACGTTCGTTGCATTCCTTTTCCAATCAATGATTTAACATCTTTGATGACCATTTCTTTTACAGTTTGAAAAAATAGTTTATCAATATTATTTTGGGTTATATTCTGAAACGTTAAATTAAAACTTGAAATGTTTGAAAATCGTTCATTTAACGATGGTCTATCATTTAAATGCAAAATATTCAAATGACCATTATCACCATTCCAGATGAATTCTTTTGGTTTGATTGACACTTGTTCGAAATTGTTCGATATTGAAGCAGGAATTTGTTCATTGATTTTGATGATAAATCTTTTCAAAAGTGGATAAAATTTAGAATCCAATGATTTGAACGTAGATGAAGTTATTTTTGTCATGAACAATTGCATCAAATGTTGTGTCATGGATGGATCATGTTGATCAATGAGGTAAGATAATAATTTTTCCGAATCATTACGAATATTTTGATCAATATGAGTGATACCACAGCTGACAAATTTCATAATCATCATTAATGTTGGTGAAAATTGCGATCGGTTATCGGATTTGGTAGAAGCATTGATTTTTTTAAAATAAATACGCAATGCTTTCAACACTTCACAACGAACACGATGATCATTATCGGTAAGATATTTACAAATAATTTGTATTTGGTCACCATCACATGATTGGCTATCATCTTGTGAAATTTTCTTGACAAATTTAATCAGATAAATTAATTTCAGTTTAGTATTAATCGAAGAATTTGATAATAATTTTATCGGATCAATAGATTCGATTGTAGAATTAATTTTAATTTTTTTTGCTTTGATTTCTGGTCTTGCTTCATTAAGATGTTTTGGTAATTTTTTTCCGGCTCTTAATTTTATTTTCCGGAAATCTTGATTTTTCTTTTTCTTGCCCATTATGTTGCAAAAATTAATATCGATAAAAAAAACTGATGATCTTCACACACAGACACAAAAAAACTAATGTAAAAATTGAAATTGCAAAAAAAATATACAAATAAAACAAACGAATCACGTGTTTATTGATCTAGATCGGCTATTGTGATCCACCTGAACAAACACTCTCATAGTGCTTTCAATTTCGAATTCGAATGAACAACGGTGTTGCCAACTTTTGTTTGATGGTAAAAAAAAACAAATCAATCTTTATTTTACCATTTTTAATGATGATATATAAGTATAGATAATTTGGATAAATTTTCATTTTTTTTTATTCATTTCAAATTAAGTGCACTCTTGTTTTTTATTTCTTGGGTGGCATATAAAAATAGTCATCATTTTTTTATAATAGTCCGAAAAATTTACATGATAACAATAGACAAACAAACATGAAGAAAAAAACAAACAAACAAACAAAAAAATGGATAAAATGAAATAAAATTTACACTCGGTGTGTGTGTGTGTGTTTTTTTTCCGTTTGTTATCAATGATTATTATAGGAATCATAATGATGATGATGATGATATGAAAAAAAATGAATCAACAAACAAACAGATTTTTAGTGGATTTTGGTAGTCAATGTGTCAATGTGTATACAAAAAACTAGAATTACCATTGATGCAAATCACAATTGAAAATTTCAATGTAGAAAAATATGGCTGGCATGGGCATTTGATGTGTGTGTGGGTTGATGTTTTTTTTTTTTTTGCTTAAAGTGATGTGATTCAAAAAAAAAAAAAAAATCAATTTCATCATCATCAAAGAGATGAAAAAAAAATATTATTGGCACTCACCACAGAAGTGTATGGGGGTGGGTGGGTGGTTGTGTGTGTGTGTGTGCAAATAAACAATCAATAAAATTATTTTGAAATAAAATATGAATAGCAAAAAAAAAAAATGAGAGAAAAAAAAATTAAAAATCAACGATATGACACAGAATGATAATTGTTTTCTCTCCATATATGTGTATGTGTGAGAAAAAATACAGGGTATATAATAGGTATACAAACACAAACACACACAAACAAACAAATAATGGGTTGTATTGCTTATCATGAAACAATGGCTGAATTAGGTGCTATTGCTGTTTGTGGTGATTGATTAACATTGACCACTGTACCAGTTGATGTAGCATTACCGGTAGTAGCTTGATTAGCTGCTAATTCATCATTACGAACATCGGATTTAAGTTTAACAAATTCTCTGGCCACTTCATCTGTATTTCGTTGTGATAATATACGTAAAATAGTCCAACCAGTTTCATCCATATGAACACGACGACCTAATGGTAGCCAACAATTACAATTACCTTGTTCAGCAATATCGGCTAATTGTAGAATACAAACACCAACTAGACGATCTTCACGTGCAAAACAATAATCTTTTACAGCTATATGAAGTTCGAATGAAGTTGGTTCATCTTCATTGCCGATAATGCTGGATATAATCATCAACATAATAGAACAAGGAAGAAATTTTAAAAATTTAGAAAAAAAAATTAGTCACCAACAACAACAAAACTTACAAATAGAATGTTTCATTAAATTTTGGTGACCAATTATTGTGTTTTGATTTGGTGGCAAATTTTCGTTTCTTATCACTTAAATGTGGTCCAATCATATTGACTTCGACAAATGGTTTAAACATTGTTGTATTTGGCCATTTAAGTTCATTACATGCAACGACTAAATTTAATTGATTAACAAAAGATTAGTTATCCAATAGAAATTTCAGAAAAAAAAATTACTCACTTTTAACAGTAACTTTGTGTTCACCAGAATTTGGATGTGTAAACAAATCAACCTGTATGGATATCTCACCAACTGGTCCATCTTCTTGTGTAGGTAAATCTTGTTTAGTTTGAGTGGTGACAAATTTTTTAATCAAAGTATCAGTTGTTTGTGTATACATTGATAAGGCATTACGTAATGATTGTAGATCTGGACTTTTATCCAAAAATGTTTTCTTCAAACCATTACCATTGGCATGAAAAAATTGTTTCATTGTTTCCAATGAAACATCCAACACTGCACATTGTCGTGGATTTAGATTCTTTTCAAACTGTAATGACTTTAAAATATTAATTAATTAATAATTGATTGATTGATTCAGAATTTTTCATTTATAAAAAATTTTCACATAAAAATAAATAAATAAATAAATACCTCAATAACACCAAGATTTGTCAATCGATTTGCTGATAGATTATTCTTGAATAAACGGCCAACATCTTCAATTTTAGCATTTGGTAAACTTTGAAGAATAATATTCTTTTCATTCATTGGCGGTAATACAATCGTTTTTTCTAATGTATTCATTACTAATTTCCATAATTCTTTCAATAAACGTTTGAATACAGTTTTTTCACATGTTTGTGCAAATTGTGATAATTTTCCATCCAAAAGATCCATAAGTGGATGTAATATAAGATCAGCATCTGCGGCCACTTCAGGACTACTTTTCAATGTTTGTAATTGTTGTGCAGAACTGCCAGAATTACCTTTCACTTGACACAATAGCTGTCCTAATTCGGCAACACTTTTTTTGATTGTTGGCTCTAAACTTTTACCAAATATTGCACTCAATTCATCTAGATTACTATTCAATGTAACTTGAAGATCTTTCAATATATCGGCTGCATCTGTTTCCAATTTTTCACCACCCATTGATTCAAACATTTTTTCCAATTGAACACGTAGCTGTTGAATATTGTTCATTAGAACACAAGCCTGTATTGGAATAATTATAACGTTTATAATTAGCTAGTTATGTAACAACAAGTTAACAAAAACAACAAAAAAAATTACTTACAATTTTTTCATTTTTACAATTATTATTTGCAAAATCTCTTTTGACAATATTAACATAGGCAGTTAAAACTTTGACAATTGTTTTAGCAAAACGTTTCATATAACGTTTTACTATTTCTGGATCAGGACATTCTAATTTTTGTATAACATCAAAACATTGTGTCAATTGTGTAAAAACATCGACAACAGAATTTGAGAATAATGAATGTTCAGAACTATGTTGAAACTGAAATGAAATAATAAAATAATCAAATGTAAAATGTTGAATATAAAAAAACAATATAAATTATACATACACCATCTTTTTTATCACGCATATATGCACCATTCACATATTCCAATGAAACATCATCATTTTCATTTAACCATTGCATAACGAATGGTTCAAACCAACTGTGTATTGTGTAAAAGTGAAAAATTGAAAAATTAAATTCAAAATAATAAAAATATTTTCATTGTAAAACAAATACATACGCTGGATAACCGGGTACAACATCTTTGAATTGTGGTATATCACGACAATAAGTATTGTAAAACCATTTACATTTAAAATGTAAATTCATATATGCTGAACTTAAACAAAGACGATGTTGTTCATGTTCTTCTAATGCAAATTTCATATCACTAGAGAAAAATGTCCACATTGATGCAGCGCTTAAATGTCCAATATTGAATTCTTGTGGAAATCTATTGATATAATGATAATAATGATGATATAATAGTTTAATGAATTTTAACAAAAAAAAAAATAAAATAAATACATACTGATTCAATACAGGTGAATAGCTATTTTTATCTTCTTCAATAACCGATACCATTAATGCAACTAATTTATGCCAAAAATCAAGATTATGTAAACTAGGTCCAGCATCATCTTGTGGATTTTCTTGTTTTTTATCGGATGGTTCACTTTGAAATTCAGTACCATAAAGATTGGTACAATTTTCAAATAAAAATTGATACGTTGATCGAAGGCATGCTTTGGCACAATCTTTAACCACTTGACTAGCACGTGGTGGACTAGATAATTCTTGTACTTTCATACGGAAAAATGTTATACTTGTTAATAGATCGACAGTAGATTTTAAATCTTGTAAACGTTCAGGTGATGATGCAGGAAAATTATTCTGTTTTATTATAGTCAAAAAAATTCCATTGATCATTCATCATAAATGTTCATCAATAATATACTCACTCTATACATTGATAAATCAATTCGTAATGAATTATGCAATTGATCTAATAGTTTGATGAATTTTTCTTTCTGTAAACAAAAAAAACAAAAACAAAACATGAAATCGATATATTCAAAAATCAATCATCAATAAATTACTCCAAAATTGGAAGCAGCAAAACGATCACTAGCCGACACATTGGACGATGCTGATGTGTGGGCATAATAGGCATTGATATTGGCCAATAGTGTACTCATAACCGCTGGTACACCTTGACAAAGATATTTGGTTGATAAACAATGAAAATGTCTAATGATGATAATTGAAAAAAATGATTAGATGTGAAAAAAACAACAATAATAATAATGTTAATATGCAAATTACGTCATCGCTTGATAGATTGATTCAATTCCATAACGCATAGCAAATTCATCCACAACTTCACGGGCCGGATTATCGAAATAAACTTTCCATGCATCATCCTGTGTGTATGATTATGAATTTTTAAATTGAAAATATTCACAGAAAATCATTTTCAATTCTACTTACGCCTTTATAATCTGGAAGTTTAACGGAACCACTATGGACGGTCTCACACAAATAATGGAAGAGATTCTATGACAATCGCAACACATTGAAATAAAAAATGAGATTTTTTTTCCTTCAAAAACTAACCTCATGTAGGCAAGTGTATTGTACATGATATGGTGCTACTTTTTCTTCACCTTTAATTTCAACACTAATATGCAGACGTATGGCACCGGATACGGCAGATTTATCAGTACGTTTTTCAAGATTATACCATACATCCATTTCACCGCTCAACGTACGAACTTCGATGATTGTTTGGCCAAGAAAATCATCCGATTCTCGTGTTAATTTTTGTCGAAGTTTTGATTTCAAATCATTATCTTCATCCCATACACGTACCTTGATACGATCACTTGAATTATGGCATTCAAAATAGAATTTTTCATTCCAAACAGGATTCAAATCTTGTGGCACTGTACGGGTACGTTTTTTAACTTTGCCAACCTGTGTTGTTACATATGGATCACTAGTACCGCTTTTATCTTTAGCTATTAAACCTTGTGCACAAATCACTATTTTTTTTGTATGAATGAAAGAATTGAATGAATGTGAGAGAGAAAAAAATATATATATTTTCAAATATCATTATTGGGATGGAAGTGGATGAATTATTGAAAGAGTTAAAGAAACGGAATCGTAATTATTTATATGGATAGGAAAGAAAAGAAAATGTAATAATATATGAATGTGTTCAAATTAATGAATGAAATTTTGAATTGACATTAGGTTACATAATATATATATATATATACATGCCTGTGATGGTGATTTTAGCCGACCAGTTGCTATCAAGCATCACCTGTTCGGCTTTTTGCATTTCATCAATATGTAATGCAGGTTCAACAGCAAAAACGTCTCTGGATATTTTTTTTTTTTTTTTTTTAGTTTGTTTTTAAAAAGTTTAGTATTTTTTTTTGTTTTTTCGTTAGTAGCAGTAGTAGCAGAGGTTATTGGATTTTTTTGTTTATCAATTATTAATATATCATCATCATCATCATTATTATTATTATTCAATTCAAGAATCAGAAAAAAGAGAATGAAAAAAAAGATAAAATAGAATGGAAAAAAATGACATCAGACAATTTGTTTTGTTTGTTTTGTCAGTTAATAATGATGAATCAAAAAGCATTAGCAAATAATGAAAAATAAGAAAATGCGATTATAGAGTGACTAGAAAAAAAAGAATTGGCAGAAAAACTACAAATAATAAAAAAAAATAGTGAGCAAAAGTGAATCAAATATAGCACAAACTGACGTAATTTTTGTTTGTTTTTTTTTTTGCAAAAAAATGAAATTTCATTTCAATTCAATTCATCACGTTATCAGTTAATCAATGTTGGTGAATTGGGTATGGTGCATTTAAAATTTTTTTTTTATTTTATTTTTGCCAAAAATAATTTAATTAGTGAATGTGATTTGATTGAATCATTTTATCATCATCATCATCATCATCATCATCAATCGATGGTAAGGAATTTTTAATTCGAAATTCATATGTTGTTGTTGTTGTTATAGAATGGAATGGCTGGCTCATAAACCATTTAGGAATCGGATAATGTAAATATAAAGGATGAGGAGGGTGATCGATGGTGTGTGTGTGTGAGGACCTACCGGTAATGGCAATTTTAGCTGACCATTTTGATGTGCCATCAAGAACGCTTTGTTTGACGGCTTTCATATGTCCAGAGTGGCTTTTTTGATCCACACCGAACACATCCCTGTTTGTTTGTTTGTTTTTTTTGTTTCGAAAAAAAAAATTTTTCAAATAAAAATAAACAATTATTTATAATCTATCTATATGTTTTTTTTCTCTACTTTCTTTCAAAAAAGGGTTCGAAAATGTTCACGAAAGCGCAATAGTAGTGAGGAGACAAAAAAACAAAATCCGCTTTACTTTGCTTTCATTTTTACCAATTTGTTGTGTGATCAAAATTGAATTTTTTTAAAAATCAAAAATAAAGCTCACTTGATTTTTTTTCAAAGCAAACAAAAAACAACGATCTATCTATCTATTTATCTATCTATCTCTAAATATAGAAATAATCACTAATAATAAGCAATAAAATAATAGAATTGGAATGAAAATGAAAACCTTATCATTTCAAATATTTCAGGCTTTTCACGTTCACGAATTTTCATTCGTTCTTTCATTGCCATTATGATGTTATTTGCTTTGTCTTCAGCACCATGTTTTGAACTTTTTTCAGCGGCACCTGTTTGTTTTTGTTTCAATTAAAATTTCCATTATTTATACACATATGCACACACACACAAAACACCGGAAATACATACGTTGTAAACAATCAGCATTAAGTAAATCTTTACATTTTTCATGACATTTGACACCACATTCTGTACAGCGTACACCTTGACGTGCAATCCCCCATAATAAGCCCTCACATTCATAACAATATGTCGGACTTGTGGCTGTCCAAAGTTGAAAATTATGTGGCGTAGTACTAGATATTGGATAAATCAATGCCTGTAATGTTTTCTTATAGACATGTGTTTTCTATGGGTTTGCGAACAAACAAAAAAAAAAAACAAAAAAAATAGATCATAAAAATCAAAAATAACGATTAGATTAGAATAAAAGTTTAAAAACATATGACGTTTTCAAAAAATTCTAAATTTACCAATTCTTCATCATTCAATGATGCTCGTGGGATGGCCGATGTTAAGCCAGCATTCCTTTTATTGGCAGCCATTGTCTGTTTTGTTTTTTTTATTTCCGTAAAAAAAAATTATATGATTATTTTCGATTTTCATTGGAATTCAAAACAAACAAACACAACATACCTTTAAAACCAATTCACTGACTAATGGAATAGATTTTTTGCGTGGTCGTATATCAGGCATAGCATCGATTCCGCTGAAAAATGGATTATCACCACTACACAAAAACATACCCACATACACACACACACACAAAGGAATTAAAAACCGGATGAAAAACAAAAAAAAAATTAGTAATCGAATCAAAGGTTATTCTAGCTATATTTAACAAAAAAATATATATTACCCGACTCTGAAGCCAAGACTTTTGAAAATATCGCTAACTTCTGGTCTTCCATCGCCCTATTAAATTAAATTAAAATACATATATATTATTGTAAATAGAATGAAAAAAAAACATGAATCAAATATATATATGACAAACCTCATTAAGATGAGAGCTAATCTTATTAAATGCATTTATCCAACGTGCTCTTGCTTTAGACATTCCTTCAGTACTTGTTGGTACAATTAATGGCCCATCAAACATGCTATTCATTCTTGGTGGACTTTTTTTGCCAACCTCTTCAGAGAATGTAACACTTTTTGATGCAGATGTTTCCGTTTTGATTGAACCATGTAAATCGATCAAACCACCACCATTAACATCAACCATCTGCTGCTGCTGCTGCTGCTGCTGGCCAACACCAATACCACCAACATCAGCATTACTATTGACAATAGATTTAATGCCATCAAATGGACTAGAATCAACATTTGCTATGACAACTGATGTGTTTGATGTTTTATTATTATCACAACTGTCATTCAATTCGCCCAATTCTTTCAATTCAGATTCAGACAATTGAGATGCAAAAGGACCAGCCATATCGGATTGATCGGTATTTTTAATCATTTCATTGTTTAAGGCATTTGTTGCATTGATTAATTCATTATTACTATTACTAATGACAATTGATGGTGCTATTGCCAATTTTGGTCCTTGTATAGAAGAATCATCTAATTGTTTATTGGCTGATTGAATACTATTCTGTTTGAGCTGATTATCAAAATTATTAACAAAAGGTGAATCATGTATAAATGAATGATTTTGATCACGCTGTTGGTGTTGCTGTTGCTGCTGCTGTTGATCATTGCTATTCCAATTATCTACCATTCCTGTAACAAGATGATGATTTGATGATTCAAAAGAATTTTTTGTAATTTGTCCATCACCACCACCCACAATACCTAATGGTGTTTGTTGATGATGTTGACCTTGTTTGTTATTATTATCTAAATCCATCATCTCAAATTGAGCTTGTCTTCGAGACCAATTCTCTTCAAATTGTTTATCAAGGAAATCCTGTTCACTTTGCCAATCACCATTACCATCACAATTAACAATATCACTGGAAAGGGTGTCTTGCGAAATTATTTTTTTCATACTAGCATGATTAGATTGTTGTTGTTGTTGTTGTGACAACGATAATGGCGGAAATTCGGCTGTTACTGATGACGATGTTGGTTGTGGCTGTTGTTGTTGTTGTTCGAAACCAATATTTTGATGATCAAGGGCAATCACCGGATATGCATTAGTGATCTTTTGATCATTACCAACATGTTGTTGTTGTTGTTGTTGCTGTTGTTGTTCAGAAAGAATTTTGTTATTTATAATCGTCTTTGTATTTGAATCTAAAGTTAATATTGGAACATCATTATTCATTACCGTCATAATAACATCATTATTTAACATAGATTGTGAAGGAATAGGTGATTGTTGTTGTTGCTGCTGCTGATTGTTGTTATTATTTTTATTTGTACTTGGTACAGATGGAACAACAATCACCGGTTGAAATAAATTACTTGTTTGGTTATTATTTTGGCTAGAATTGTTGTTTGCATTCGAGGCAGCGATAAAGCTTCCGTTGACAATAACAGGCGTAGTTGCTGTTGTCATTGAATCATGGATCAACATTTTATTCTGTTGTTGTTGTTGTTGTTGCGGTATTTGATGAATCTGCTTCTGTTGTTGAATAACGCTTTTTCTTCTCTGTTCAGCAGCAATATGTTCATCATTTTGCTCTAAGGCACCTTGTCGCTCAAGACTTGGTTTACGTATTGCTTTCCGTCGTTGTTTAAGTCTATATGATGATGGATCTGGTTGATCGAAAACATGATCCAACGTTGTTTGTGAAAATGTTTCATTATTAAATTGTTGCTGATGATTAGAATGATGTAGATGGCTATCTAAATTATTATTTCCTGACATATTCTGTTGTTGCTGCTGTTGTTGTGGCTGTTGTGATAATTGATTCGTAACTTTATTATTATTACTATTTGGTAGAAATATTGGTGGCTGTTGTCGATTATCTTGTTTAAAAATTTGTTGCTGTTGTTGTTGTTGATTTTGAGATGGAAAATTCATATCTCGAAATTCATTTTGCTGCTGTTGCTGTTGTTGTTGTTGTTGTTGTTGTTGTAAATGATATTGCTGTATAGTTGATATTTGTTCTTGTGTTAGATTGATTTGTTTTGAAAATTGTAGACTTTTACTCATTGGTATTTGTGGCATTTTACGTCTGTTTTATTTTTGCCATTCCATTTTCACCAACAAAGTGTGTATGACAAAATAAAAATGGGAATTCGGATCAGGAAAATTTTTTTTTGTTTTGTTTTGTTTTCAATTCAATCAAATCAATTGATTATTCGATAAAAAAGAGAATAATATAACTTACCCTTCTTTATTTCTTGTATTAATGGTTCCACTACTATTATTAGTATTATTGACATTGGTGATGATTGTATTATTGACATTTATTTGAGGCAAAACACGACGAGGACGGCTATTATAATAGAGTGAATCCTGAAATCCAAATCCTAATCCGTCTTCTTGTTTAGATGGCAGCTGTGGCGGCAGTTGTGGCTGACGATTATTATTCACAACAATAGTTTTGATATTTTGACAAATTTTTTTCTGCTGATATTGACTTCGTATAGCATCGATATCGGTACAACCACCAAATGGTAATTCACGTTTTGGCCGCGATGAATGATGATGAACAACTGGAACAATTTGATCATCATCATCATCATCATCATCAATGGCAAAATAAAATTTGGATCATGTTCATCTTCTTTATCATCAATTTTATCATTGTCATCATCATCATCATCATTTTCAAGGATAGTAGTACGTTCTTGTATAGTACTTGGACTATCCATATATTGTTGTTGTTGTTGCTGCTGTTGCTGCTGCTGCTGCTGATAAGTACCACGTAAAACGTTTGTTGTATGAGAAACACATCCATATTGCTGTTGTTGTTCGATGACATTTGATTGATCTTCTACATCTATGATTCTATTATGATTCGTAATAGAATTGGCCATTGTGATATTATCATTCATTTGATGACTAGTGCTGCTATTTTGTTTATTATTAAAAGTTTTTGATATCGTTTCAAATTGTGATGAGGACGAATTTGCTTGATGATATGATCCGTATTGATTCTGTTGATTTGGATAGCTAATATCACTTGTATAGTCGCTGTCTTCAGAAAGACCGGCTATAACAACAATAAAATGAAAATGAAAAAGAATTTTTTGTTGTTGTTGTTGTTGTTGTTGTTGTCAATGATTATTCACAATTGAATAAAAGAAAAAAAATTATTTCATCAAAATAGAAAAGAATTTGTTGTTGTTGTTGTTGTCGCTATTGTTGTTGACATTTATGTTTACACACATGGAACAAAATGTGAACAGGAAATATCCAAAATAACAACAACGACAACAACAACAAAAAAATTTTTCTTTTCAAATGGAAAAAAAACTAGAAATTGGAACTCACAATAAAGTTGATGGCCATGAAAATGTGAATCATTATCGATGTTATAGGCACAAACTTGTTCGACTTGTCCACCAACAATTGGTGATTGTTTCAATTGTCCAATATTGACATAATTGAGATTCCTATTGAATTCATTCACATTTTCCAATTGTGTTTCTATAAAAAAAAACAAAAACAAATGAAAAAAATTTCATTATCATTGTATTAGACACAAAAAAAACATCTATTTGATTGATGATGATGATGATGACAATCTAGCTAATCAATTAGGAATTATCGATTGTACAAACAAATAGAACAAAATCAATGTTTACCATATACAGGCTCAAAATGTGATTCGATTAAAAGAAAATTTCCAGTTGAATTACATGTACCAAAAATTTCTTCATTATTATATACACGAAGATCTGCATCAATTGATTGCCATTGACCACCGGAAGCCTATATTGGTTATATATGGAACAGAGAGAAGAGAAAAAAAAATAGAAAGATTTATTAATTGAAATTGAAAGAAGAAATAAAAAACCATATGACATACTTGTTCTAAAAATGGAACATCATTCAAAGGCACGCAAATATAACCGATAATTTTATCCCATAATATTCCTTTGTTCCATAGTTCGATTATTAGATTTGTATCCAATCTATTTGTTTCACTGTGTATAGGTATATCATGGATTTTTTTTTCGAGAAAAAAAAAAAAAAAAATTTCAAATCATTAAACATTGTAAAAAATCGAATGATAACATTCTAAACATGAATACATACAAAATAAAATCCTGTTCCCAACATGGATTACATCCTTTGACAGCAACGGTTGTCGATTTTACATTCTCAAGTTTAACGGCCACATACGTTGTGAATTCCGCTTCAAATATGGAAAAAAGAGAAAGAAAAAAAATTTTATTCACTAAATTGGATTCAAATTCAGGGTCTTTCTATTATTCAAATCAATCAAAAATCAATTTTTGGATAAATAAAGAGAGATCGTAGTGAGCAAACTAAAAAAAGAAAAAGAAAAAAAGAAAACAATTCTGTACTTACCATCATTTCCGATAAGTTTCGCTTTTCGTACTTTTTTTGTTTTCCAGGAAAGAAAATTGATGGTTGTTGGTCGGAAAAATTAATATAAAAATAAAAAGAAAAATGAATAAGGAAATCAAAAGACAAAAAAAAAATTTCATTTGAAATCAATATCAAATGTGTGACATATTATTATTATTGTCATTATTCATACGAATGAATTTGGTTATGTATATCGTTATTGTTTGATGATGACATAAGAAGAAAATTGTCATTTGTTTTTATAATGTCAAGCAAGATAAAAATAAGTTAAAAATGTCAAATTGGAAATATGAATCTTTTTTTATTTTTTGTTCGCATTCGAAAATGACAATGAATATGAGTGTGTTGAGTGTGTAAACAATGAGATTGTTTTTTATTTTTACATTTCTGTTTTCTTGTTTTCTCATTTTTTTTTCTCACTAGAAAACAAGTTCAAAAAAAAAATCGATCGATCGATTCGAATGTAAAAAAAAAGAAAATGACAATGAAAAAAAAAATTTAAACTTACCGGTTACCGAAAGAAGATAAGTCGACATGATGATGATGATTGTGATTGTGACGATAATAATAATAATGGTAGTGTTGAAATAGTCGTAACAAAAATAGATTCAATAATAATAGAAATCTACTAATAATATAGAGAATTTTTTCTGATAATAATGATCAATATTAATCAGATAAATGAATGATAAATGATTTGATTGGAAAAAAATTTTCAATAAAAATATCGTTGTCGTTATATTATGGTTGATGATGACGATGATGATGATAATGATGATGATGATGGCCGATATCGTTACGACAATTGTCGCAAATTGAATGGACATTTTTTATTTTCATACAATTGAATAAATCTAATTGTGCCAATGATTATTATGATAATAATAATGGTGATGATGATGATGATGATGATGGTGTGATTCAAGAAAATCAAATGGATCCATTTTTCGATTTGACGACCTTAATCTCAAAAAACCATGGTTATTATTTTGCCAGTTTTTTTTTGGTTGGCCATCACACCGTCAACATCATCATCGGCCACCAGAGAGATGGTGTCGTAAATGGTGTGTAAGGATTTTTTTTGCCTTGTTTCTGGATTCAAATCAGCATGAGACTAATGCAATGATGATGTTGAAAAAATAATGATGATGGTGATGAATATGTTTTGATATAAATAAATTCAACAATCAAATCAATTAGTATGTCACATGTGTGTGTGTATATTTAAATCATCATGAAATGGCACAAAAACACAGACAAACACACACGCACAGAATAAAAAAAAACAAAAATTTTAATCATCAAATTTCAGTCATATATGAAATATATGAATCATTCATTAATTGTGATTATGATTGAAATAATGTGATGTGATGAACTTGAGGTTACGAGTGAGAACGAGAGAGAGAAAAACAGATTTTCTTTTCCGGTACATTTATATACACACACACAGACATCACATAATTTGCTCATATAAAGCTTTTTCAAGTCATTCAATCATTGATCTATGGGTCTGTGTGTATTATCAATTGAGTAACAAACAAGAATCTTGGCATAGTAGTCATCATCTCATTTTATAATAATGGGAAGAGAAAAAAAAGAATAATAACTTTTTGTGAATATGAGTGATAGTCATATACTATTTTATTCTGATTGAAGTTTGTTTGAAAAAGAATCAGCTCCCTATGAAAATGGGAAAAAAGTCGGATTTTTTTCTTTCAATTTCCCTCAAATGATGATGATGAAGCCAGCCAGAATATATATAGATAGATATATAATACACACACACACATACACATCATTCAGACGATTCTAGGTACTTCTTCTTGTTCTAGGATCCAAAATAAAAAACTGCTTCCATCATTTGACGATATATGACATTGTTGTTGTTGTTGTTGTTACTGTAGAAGTGGTCATATATCACGTTATACGTTTTTTTTCTGGAACCATTGGAGCCGACTCCTAAAAAAAAAACTTTTCCGTATATTCATAGTTATAGCACCCATATATTAAATGATGATCCTGGATCGAGATGTCAATGTTTATCATCATGCGCGTTAGTTTTTGGTTGAAAATTGAGTGAATAAATGTGAGAGAGAGAGATGAATAGAAATAGAAAAAGTCAAATACACAACAACCATAGAATCATTATAGACAAACACTGTATCGGTCAAACCTTTTGCAAACGAAAAAACGGTCATTTTGGAAAGAAAAATTGAATGCAAGAATCATAAAAAAAAATTCCGATGAATGAAATGACAAGAAAACAAAAACCAATCTCTTGTTCATCACCATTACCATTACCATCACCATCATCATCATCATCATCATTTGTCAAACAAGATCATAAAATAAAAAATGCATACAATGAAGAAAATTCATTTATAAATGAATATATACCATTGTCATCGTCATCATCATCATCATCATCATTGTCATGAAACAAACACGCGTATCTTTGTTTTCAATCAAGAAAATTGTATATAACGAAACTCTGACGCCGATAGCAACAACAACAACAACAACAATAACAATGACAATGACAATAAAAACCAGAAACAAGGTTCCATCATCATCATCAAAAGTAAAGTCAAATAAAAAAAAAACCAAAACAAAATGATCATTAGTCATTTTGGGTTAATCGCGTATAATAATCATCATTTCTTTTTCTTTCTATGGCATCCATTATTTTTTGTTGTTGTTGTTGTTGGTAAAACATCATAAATGAATGATGATCGATTGATAATAACGATAGAAATAGCAATAAAAAAAGGGGGAATGGTCCAGTAAAGATTTTTCAATGTCATTCACTGGACAGCATTAAAGATCGGTGATGATCAGATTTAATTTCCGGTTTTTATTTATTATCAAAAAAGAAAAAAAAAGAATTAATTATCATGATGATGATGATGATGATTTTTTTTTTTTTAAAATGACAAAGTTACAAAGAAAAGTGATGAAATTCTTAAAAATTTTTTTTTTTGTTTCTCAAAAATTCTTGTTCATTACGACGTTATAAATAGTTCCAATGAATGATGATGACGATGATGATGATGATGATGATATGACGGTGAATGTATAGGAATTGAATTTGATGAATGAAAAAAATAAACAGCTGCATTATTACGGGAAATTAATAATCGAATAATTGAAAGAGTTTGAAGGAAAATTTATTTTTATCCAAGTGTCTATAATAATGGTTAAATATTTACACACAAACACATTATTCTGTTTGCTTTATATGTTTTGTTGACAAGATTCTATCGATTACTTTCTGCAACAAAAAAAAAAATGAATGAATGATTGAATGTTAATTTCCAATGAAAAATGAGGATGATATCAGAATCTTATAGTCTTTTTTTCTGTAATGTTGTTTCATTTCTTAAGAATTTTACATTCAACATCCGGTGGTTAATATGGTCAATGTTCACTATACCACTGTTAGCGAGCAAGAAAAAAAAATAATAATAATAATAATGTTATTTCTCACACGCACACATCATTTAATGATGACTTACATTAATGTATCCATGTTCATTTAGATGTAATGCTTGATATTGATCGTTCAATAAAATTTGTGAAAATTGATTATGCATCTGTATTGCTTCGGCTTGTTTAGCGCTACCAGAATCATATAAATCTTTCAATAAAGCCGTTGCCCATAATTGGACCTGTGTATCTGGTATTTTACTAGCCAATTGCATGGCTGGTGTTACCATGTTTAAACTTTCACGACTAATTGTTAGATAAGAAAATAAACATAAATTAAGTCATTTAGAAATTTGTTTTTTTCTTCAAAAACAAAAAAAAAAAAAAAAAACAGACAAATTAATCTCATATAATAATTTACCTATTTCCTAATGAATAGAAAATGTGTCCAAGTAAAACCAATGAACATGATGTCAAACGATTCAAATCTTCACCATTGGCCATTTTAAGTGTTTCACGCAAGTATCGTCTATTTGTTTGTGAAAGAAAAAGTTTTTTTTGTTTCATTGAGATTTTGTTTTTTACCAAACCATTAATCTTATTAAACAACAAAATAAAATGGAAAATGAAATGAAATGAAATACATACTTGGCATCATTATAACGAGCTTGAAAATATGAATTTAAACCAAAAACATAATAAGCGGCTGCTTTTAAACTTTGTGAGCTATATGTGTGTGTGTGTGTGTGTGTGTGAAAAAAGAGATAATTTTATAGCAGAAAAAATATAAATTAATAAAACGAAAAGGATTAAAATAATCGTATTCATTTCACAAACTTTGAATGAAGTGATTCCGGATTCAGATTGACCAACAATTCATTCAATTCATTTTCACGTTTATTACGTAAATAAACAATGGCCAAATTTAGGCTAGTCAATATTCGTGCTTCGTTTGATGCACCATGTAGCTGTTTTGTGATGGTGATGAAAATGTACGAAATTGGGGAAAAAATGCATCAATTTTAATTGATTGACAAATTTCAAACACATACCGTTAATGAAAGTCGTAATTGGCTTTCAGCACAATCGGTTATATTCATAGACATTGCATACATTCCCAATAATGAATGTATCAATGGTTTATGTCGAAATTTTAATTTTGTATCTCGATAACAAATATTTAATGCTTGAACAATCTATTTGGGGACAAACGAACCAATTATTGGAATAAGTGGAAAACAAAACAAAATTTTTTTTTTTTACTTCTTTGATTGCCAAAGTTCTGTTGCCCATCACTAAACGACACATTGCTATATGTTCCAATAGAATCAATTGAAATGTATTCAACATTTGATGACTACCGACGCCTGTGAATATGAATGTGTATCATTATAGAAAATCATCATTGATTTGAGAATCATCATCATTTACAACATACTTCGTAATTTATCGATTTGCATCAATGCTTTTTCCGTATATTTTTGTGCTTTTTCCATATAACCAGATTGCATTGAATGTAATACGGTTACCAAATATACTAAAACACACATATGTTCTTTAGGCATCCAAATAAAAGTATCGTTTGAATTTAGGCTCATATATTCTGTTGTTATTATTATTGAAAAAAAATGAAATGAAAAAAATATTTAAATAATGAATGAATTTTGAATAACCAAAAAATAAAATAAAATAAAAAAGAAGAAAAACATTTACCGTCATCAAGATGAAATGATGTAGCCGTTATATTCTGAATACTTTGTTGTAATAGTTTTAAACTTGGCCGTACACTTTTCACTTGGCCTGCATTCAAATGATGACATACTTGTAGTACTAAAAAGAATACTTTTAATGCCTCTTTTAGATGAACATTTCCTTGCCATGATTCAACCAATTGACCGGCAAGATTTAAAACAGGATGCACTTCATTGATACGTTTATCAATCATCAATACCATTCCACGACTTAATAGAAAAAGTATTCGTGTATAATGAGCACCGGAGATATTTGCATATTCTGCACCAATATTTAATACATTCGCTGCTTCATTATATTCTTGATCATTGGCATGAATTTGCTATTTGAAATTTTTGTTGTTGTTGTTGTTGTTGTTTTGTTAATGTCAATGAAATTTTATCATCATCAATGTGTACTTACCGCTAATTGAAATAATAATTTAATGTGCCAATAGATTGAATGACAAGATTTTTCGACACCTTTAAGTAAAATTTCTTTGGCACCTAATGTATGATTCTGTAGAAAAATATCGTTAGTATAGAATTAGTCCATTGAATGCTTCCACTAGATATTCGTTACCATTTTTTCATAGATACGAGCAAGTAATGATATCGATTCATAAATGATATCTTCACAATTGGCTATAGTTTCTGCTTGACCCCACTACAACAATTGGATTAGAGTCAATATTTTTAGCTAGAATGAAACAATCAAATTTTACTCAAACTTACAGCTTTTTTAAGATGAACTTTGGCCAATTCAAGATTATTCGAATGCTCCAATAGTAGTGAACCAATTTGTAGATGAGTTTTAGCTTCGATTGCCGGATAAGGAACACGAAGATTGATGATGGCCGTCAAACATTGTACACAATTTCGTATATCGGGAGGTTTTTGAGTCCGAAATTCTTCGGCCAACGAAACCAGTGTAAGGTAGGCATTTTCTGGATTATAACTATTCATCGTTAATTTCGAAATTAATTTTACTTTAATTATAAAATGGAATCAAAGTTGAAAAATCATGATAATGTACAAATTGTGAATTTAAATCGTTCAAATTTTCATCAATGTTGACAGAAGCCAAAAAAAAATTGAAAATTGAAAAATAAAAACAAAAAAATTCTATTTTGGTTTTTTTTCGTGGACAATAGAGCGCTTCCGTTCATATAGTACGTGACAGGATTTTTTTTCCAAAAATAAAAATTTCAAAATTTTAATTCCCGCCATTGTTTTTTAAACTTTTGTGATAAAATAGACATTTTTTATTTGGAGGGAAAATATAATCACCAAATGGGGGCAAATGAGTAGGTGTGGCGCTTAGAAAAAAAATGCCACGGATTTTCCATGACGATAACATTTATTTTTTCCTCTGATTTTTACTTCGAAATCACGAGTGATAACAGAAAGAAAAGTGAAATTTTCTTTAATCAAACAACAATTTCAATGTTTTTTTCCAAATAACGATAATCACAGTTTCCGAAATTTATTAATTGTTTATCGTAAGATGAAATGAAAGAATGAATGACTGAAAAAAAACCAGAAAAAAAGTCCAGAAGCTTCGAAAAAATGATCACTGAATTTTGATGACAAATCAAAAATCTAAATCTTATTTTGAAATTATCAATACTAGAGGCCACTATCACCCAGAACGGCGAACGAATGAAACCAGCGAACCAGATTATATACCACCACCATTTGTTGTTGTTGTTGTTGTTGTCAATCGTATCTTGTGAATAAAAATGAAATTTTGATATGTGATCATCATTGAATGAATGAGATCCTGTTTTTTTCTTATATTGATGATTATTATTTCATCATTGGATTGAAGATCATCATCAAACCGGACCATCATCATCATCGTCGTCGATCGACCTTCCCCTGTTGTTCATCGTCATCGTCAAACAGCTGCCATAATTTCAACCACACAACATAAACAACCATAAAATATAGAGATAGATGAATGGATGGGTGGTGTTTAATAAATGGTAAAAAAAAATGGTCGAAAAGAAGGAGAAAAAAAAGGCCGAGCATTTTAGCCACACATAAAATGTGCATGTTGAAAATGAACACGATACACACACACACACACACATAGTTCAGATTTTCAGTTTATGTTTGGACGTTTCTGTAATCGGTAGTGTTGTTGTTGTTGGTGGTGGTGGCGGTCATCGTTGTCGTTTTTTCAAATTTTTTTCACTGTGATTTTTGTGTGTGTTTATGTGTGTGCCTTAAATAATTCCCGTTTTAAATAAAAAAATTAAAATTGAAAATTTTCAATAAAAAAAATGAAATAAATAATACACATCATGATGTTTTATATCAGCAACGATAATACAAATCGCCATCAACAGCGATTATTAATACGTAGTCTATGCAATGTAGCCATGTATATATCGATGTGCCTTTTATTCATCATCTGTATGATGGTCATCCTATGGATGCCATCATTATCATCATCATCATCATCATCATCAGTAGTGAAAAATTTACATCAAAATCAATTATTGCAATCAAATTTAAATGAATCAGCTAAACAGATTCCAGAATCTGTATCATCATCATCATCGATGATCAAAACAAATGAATCACAAACAAATATTGATGATATATTTATAACGGTGAAAACGACAAGAATATTTCATAAATCTCGTTTAGATATTATATTGGATACATGGTATACATTGGCAAAAAATCAGGTAAGAATTTATTCTCACATTGTTGTGATTTATGGTGTGAATATAATATCCAAAAAACGTGATTCACGCGTTCAGGATTTCTTTCAAATCATGATCATTTTCGATGTACCATTGATCACGATCATCATCTTGTTGTTGTGTTCACATCGATTTTTGTCTTGTTTTCGCACCTTGTTATTATATTGCATGTTTAACATGAATCGATATTTTGATCGATTTTTAATTTCTATTTTCTGTATTATCCGTCTATGTCACAAAATTACACACTAGAACATGTGTTTCTGTGTGTCTGTGTGTGTGTGTGTGTGTGTCAAAATGTCCATAAAGTTGTCATTTTTTTTTGACTCAAACCCTTTGGTTGTGACCTTTCCCCCAGCCCTATTTTTAACTGATCATTTTCTTCAAAATATTTCTTATCTTGAAGCTAATCTAGCTTGACCAGAAAAAAAATTAAATCATTTTTTTCTGGACTTATCGGGTGACCGATTGGTTATGGTTTTTTTTTAGTTTGTTTACAACAACAACAACAAAAAAAAAGTCTTTGAAACCATTACCATTCATGGCCACCATAATGACCCATGACCTCAATGATTCAATCTATTATATCTATATAGACACACACTATACTAATCTGCTTTTGTCGTCAACAACATGTCGTTTGTTCGTTTATTGTCCACAAATATTTCTTTACTATTTGGTTCATGCTGTGTGTGTGTGTGTGTGTGTCGTGGGTCATTCATTTCAAGACATCGCACACACACACACACAAATGAAAAAAATTTATTATCACGCTCACCAAAAATCAAATGAATGCGGAAAGTAGCGAAATGAATTTTTTTATTTTATTTCGTTACTGGCCAAAAGTCCCGCTTTCAGTTTGACAAATAATGGTGGAATGAACAGAACAAAACAAAACAAAAAAAGAAATCATTGGTTCACGAGAATGAAATGTTAGCAATGCCAAACATTCATTTTTTTTGGCATTTCGTTTCGTTTGAATTCAAGTTTCAAATAGTTTGGTCTTTTTTTCCCCCTTCCCATTGGTTGGCATTTCCACTTTGCTTGCTCGCGAGCTTGATTGTTTGTTTGAGATTGAATGGATTGAAAATTGAAAAATCAATTCATTCTTTTATTGGCCACGGCAATGGCAGAGGTCAGGAGATTTGAAGAAAAAAAAACCCAGTGATTGGTATATATACTCACTATGAACAATTTACGCTTGTGTCTACAATGTCTGTGTTTCAGGACTTTCTGGAACTCAATTTATTTACCCGAATATTTTCGTACTTGTTCGTCTTTTTCGTTTGTTTGTTCACAATAATCCACAACAATCTATACTAGCTACCACAACCTAGCAAGAGTAAACTCTGATTAAACTCAGAAGAAATTGTTCATGTGTGTATCATACAAACACAAAACAATGGTCGAGTTGATGATGATGGCGGTGGAACATGACCCGAGCCCGAAAAATTGAAAAAATGCACGTGCATTCATATACCGTTCATATTGCCTGTTGATTGAAAATAATGAAAAGTAAAAAAAAAAAAATTGAAAGTGAACTTTGTGTGGAACGTGTACGATCATCATCATAAAAAGCCGAGCATGTCACATTCGCCATCATCATCATGATCTTTTTGTAAGATATGTAGAGCGCTATAATGGGAAAAAAATTTTTTTTTTTCTATATCACGAATAAATTTCAATGATGTGAGTATTTATTTTAGTTATACATTCTTTTCTGTCCCAAGGGAACCAGAGGATGAAAAAATTCTCAAATAAAAATATTTTTACCAAAACACAGAAAAAAAATCTGGTGAGAATCATTGACAGTGAGAAATAGTAACAACAATAACAAGGGGAGTAATACTATATATAGTACTGGTGGTGGTGATGGTGGTAAAGTTCTCACCAGAAATTTTTTCATTTTCAATTTTTGATTATACCCAAGACTTTTGTTGACTATTTTTAGCCATCATATTCATTAGATTCTATAGAATAATGATGATGTGTGAATATGGTAATGGCAGTGAAATTCCTGTGAGATTCATGTGAACAACCACTAATCAAGAATCTAATCTTTTCTTGTCTAATATAACCACAACATTTAATATTTAATGATGATGATGATTGTTTTGTGGTTAGATATAATTGATTCAACTAAGTTAAGTTAAATTATATCAATCAATACATTGGAAAAGGAATCGAACAGAATGATTTTTTAAAACTAATCATCGATTGTCTATAAATGTTCAATTGGTGTAGTCGTACCCTCAACAAAACCACAATGATGATCATAATGATTTCACACGGTTTCGTTATGTCTGTGTGTGTGTTGGTGTGTATTTGATTGATATTTACATAAAAAAAATCCATTGTAATCAATCAATTGATGTTGAGGATGATCGAACACAACCACACATGCACTCAGCTCAAGATGATGATGATGATAATGATAATTCTACGCTTCAATGCAAGTGTCATCCACAATGGCAAAAAAAAATTTTTTTCCCATTTGCTGTGAATCAAATGATGATAATGTGTGAGAAAATCATTCCATGCTGATTTTCATTCGAATCACTTTTACTTTTATTTAAATGTTTTCTTTTTCAAATTCACCATAGATTGAGATATTGATGATGATCGATAAATGATCAATAACTTTTTCATCCATTCATTCATTCATTCATTCATTGTTCCGGTTTAATGGATTTGTTTTTTGAGAAAAAAAAATCCTGTTGTATTTGACAAAGATTTGAGGATTCCCACCACCAAAACAATCAACAAAATCAATTCACACTTGTACCATTCTATTTTTTTTTCAATTTACAATTCACACGATTTTTTTTCCAGTGATTACATGACCTATTATCATCATTAAATTGAATATATACAATGTTTAAATTGTTGTCATTGTTGTCATCATCATCATCATCATCGTCAAGGTGGTTTTCTTATTAGATAAACAAACAAACAAACAAACAAACAGATTAGATATCTGAGGATTACACACACACACACAATGGATGATGATATTCTCACAATTCAATCAATGACATTCACATCGATTGATGATCAGCCAGAAAATTTTTTTTTTTTTTTATAACAATGTATCCAAATGTATTTTTGATAAAAGAAAAAGCCTGAGAACAGAAAAAAAGGGGTTAACTCTTTCATTCTATTTTGGTTCCTTTTTTGTATTCACATTTGACATTTTCAAATGAGAATCATCACACGACCTAGTTTTTTATTTTTATTGATGATTCTTCGATAAAAAGATTTTGATTATGATGCCCTCGATAGATATTGATTATTCTTTTTTTGTTTGTTTGTTTGGATGATGATCTATGGACAACAACAACAACAACAACAACAAAAACCTGTTGCATAGCTATTGACCATCAGTTTTTATCTCGGCAGTAAAAAAAAAAAAAACCATAATTATGAATGACAATAATAATTATGATGATTCACACACACACACACACATGTTCAATTCGAATGTTTTTTTTCTCTGTTTATTGATTTGCTTGTTTTTCACTTCAATTGACCATATACATGGTGATATTATCATTGTTATTATCGAGAAGCTACTGCTGCTGTCGATCGTTTCAATTTTAGAATTTCTGTCAGAAAATTTTTTTTTCCGCGTCATCCATCATCCATCATCCACCACCACACCACCACCACCACCAACAATCACCAATCAAATGGAACATTCTTATTCGATTCGGATATATGATGATTATGTGTATTTGGGTTTGTGTGTTCATCATCATCATCATCATCATTATCATTGATTCGAAAGTTTTTTTTTTCATATATGAGATTCATATTGTATTTGCCAACTGCTGTGTGTTTGTGTGTGTGTGTGTTTGATCGAATAACAAACAAATCAGAAAATAAGGATTTCCCACTTGTTGATTGTGATTGTGATGATGATGATGATCATCATCATTGGAATTATCAATCCAGATGATGATGATTTCTTTCTTTCTATTCTGTTTTATTCAACAGTAACAATCAATGCCAATGATGATGATGATGTTTGATTATTATGATTGTTTGTGGTTATTATTTTTTTTGTTTTGTTTTGCTCGAGTAGCATATTGTTTGAACAAGGATTTTTTTTTTTTTTTATTACTTATGGTTCAAAGTTCGTAGTTCAAATCACCGTCTCTCTCTGTGTGTGTGTGTGTGTTTGTTTTCTGCAACTCACAATAATCGAACAAACAAATAACGATTCTTTATTTTTTTTCACCTTTTTTTCCAATTTATTTGTTTGTTTTTTTATTATTATTCTTGGTAGATTAATTATATTTTTGTCATATTCATCATCATCAACATCAGAATCAGATTTTGACCTTTTACAAAATCAAACACAACCTTGTAAACAAATTTATGCATAGACACACACACACACACAAACACATTTTGTGGCCGCCTGTTGTTTGTTCGAATAAATAACAAAAACCTATAGGCTAATCTTTCATAATTTCACCCCTACACAAATCTCATCGAAACAAATTGTTTGCAAATTGCACAATTCTCGAACGAATGAATGATGATGATGATGATGATGATGAGTAATTTTTTTCGAATGTTGAAATTTGAATTCGAACCATAACGAATTTCAAAGAACGAAAAAAAATTATTGAAAAGGAACGATAATTTTCATAATTCATACATTATCATTTTCATCTTTGTTTCACATAATTATATATATATGTTTTTGGTCAGAAAAAAGAAGAAGAAAAAATTTTCAAACCGAAGCCAATGATTATTATTATCTGCAGAGAGAGAGAGAGAGAGAGAGACTGGTCTTGTGTGAATGCACACAAACACACACAAACACAATGGCAATTCAATCAATCGATCGATTGATGTATAGTAGTCGTGTCGATTTCGGTTTATTTTTTTTTTTTTTTTGTTTTACCATTATCTGTTATTATCATATTCGGTCAAATCGGTTAATGATTATGGTTGTTGAAAGAATCGGAAAAAAAATTGCTGCTGTTGTTGATCTACATATTCATTCGAATGTTTTTCGCTAGAGATGTAGATATAGCCTCCAGTCTTACCCAGTAGTCAAAAAATTTTTTTTTTTTTTCGTTCATCCATTTTTTCCATTCATCATGGCAAAACTTGAATGAAAAAAAAACAAATTACCATTATCAGCTAAAAGTCGATTTATATATCGATATCAATCTTGAATCGGTATGCATTTGTGTGTGTGCATATGTGTGTGTGTTTGTATGTTTGTCTAGCCAGGTCGTCGTCTTTGGTCATCGTCAGAAGGAAAAAAACTCATCATTTTTCTTCGGTTGTTGTTGTTCATTTCTAATACATAGTGGCTACTGGTCCACAGATCAAGAATGGCCACCTAAATGATGATGAACAAACTGAAACCAACCAATCTACCATTTTTTTTTTTTGTTGCTACAACAACAACAACAACGATGATGATGATGATGATGACCCATCTTATAGTTTAAAACTTTTTTTTTTTTGATTTTTTTCCTTTTTTCATTTTGTTGATTCGTTCAACGAATCAATAATCAAACTGTTGCCTGCCTGTAATGCTGTAAAATGTTAGCTTGATGTTCATTTTCAAGATGTGTGTTCAAATATCATCTAAATTGGTTTGTACGGGTCAATTTCAGAATTTCCAATGAATTTTTTTTTCTATTCGCAATGGTTCAATGTTGAAAGCCAAATTTTAAAAAAAATTGTTTGTTCGTTTTTTTTATTGCCTTTGAATAATAAAAATAATAAAAAAAAGTTTGTTTGCGCAAATAATCATCATTCGATTGGTAATTCTAATCTTACGAATAAATATCATACACACACACCGCACGCAAACATCAAACTTTTAAGAAAATTTATTTGTGTTCTTTTATGGCCATAAACCAATCAAAAATAGTGAAAGGAATGAACGATATCTTCATGGTCAAAAGATTTTTTATTTTTGTTGTAATTTTCAACTTTTTTATGTGTGGATTTTTTGCATTTCGTTTATTTTGCCTGCTTGCCTGTCTGATTGTTTTTTTTTTTTTTTTTGAATCTGGTTAAAGCTGATTGTCGTTGTTGTTGTTGTGGATGTTTTTTTTAAAAAATTTACATAAACCTGATTTTTTATTCAAATTCATTCAACTAATCAATTTTTTTTATTTTTTATTTTCTCCAATAGACATATTTTTTCACCGATAACAATGATCCATATTATCGACAAATACTTGGTGATCATATCGTCAATACAAATTGTTCGGTTTCACATAACAGGTATGTATAGTGAATGAGGTGATGGGTTCCATTTTTACGATGGTCATGATGGTGATGGAGAAATTGAAAATTTTCATGATTACAATTATGAAACACGCACGCACAGACACATAGTAAATCAAAGATTTCATAAAGAATTATCGTCATCATCATCATGATCATGATAATCATTAATGGCTGCCACGCTAAACAAAAAGGAAAAATAACGATGACAGGCCAGGTGTTCGTCGTCCGAAACCATCAGAAACACAGACAGCGAAAAAACGACCCTTTTCGAATACAACTCTGTGAATGTGGCAATTATTTTTTATTTTTGAAAATAAAAAATCAACAACAAAAGTTCGTGCTTAAAACACACGTCCGTTCATTTGTTTGTTGTTGTTGGAAGAAAAAAAATACCAACATGTACGACATATTTATAGATAGTGAGACAGATTATAATTGGATTGTTGCCATTTTTTTTTTGAACACGGCAGGCACGTTCACGATTTTTTTTCTTTTTTTTTTTGCCTCTACATCAACATCATCATCATCTGTAGCACGTGTGTCCATATTGAATGGTCAAGGGTCAACAACAGGTCAAATTCTTCCTACCACTATAATCTTTGATCTAGTTTTTTTTTATTTTGTTTTGTCTGTTCCATCATTAAATCATGATCAAAAATCCATGATTTAATGATGAAACTTTTTTACAATAATTTTACAATTTGTTTTTTTTTTCCTCATTCCATTCAATTATTATAGGAAAGCATTATGTTGTAAAATGAGCGTTGAATTTGATTATTATATTCATAATGATGATAATAAAAAATGGTGGTGCCATTTTGATGATGATAATTATGTAAATATACCGAAATTAATCGAATTATTACGCCATTATGATCCAATATATGATTGGTATCTTGGAAAGACCAGTATAAAACAGCCACTGGAGATTGATGATCGTGAATTTAAGGTAAGATTCTTTCTTTTCATTTCTTTTGATGAAAAAAAACGTACAATTTAATTTTGGCATGATCGAATAAGAAATAGATTGAATATAATCACAAACACTTGAACTTTTTGGTAATTAATGTTTTTTTTTTTTTTTCTTTCTTTTTTTTTCATTTAGAAAAAGATTCATTTCTCATTCGCCACTGGTGGAGCTGGTTTCTGTATATCAAGAGCATTGGCATTAAAAATGATTTCAGTAGCAAGGTTAGTTAGAAGGAATTAATCCAAATCACAAACGGACATATGTGGACAATGATAGAAATCTTTTTCTTCATGTTGTGTTTGTTTGTTTGTTTGTTGACAATTTCATACGATTCCTGTTGTATAGTAGTAATGCCTAATTATCGATTTCCGATTTTAATGATTTGCTAATAATTTTTTTCTTTCTTTTTTTTCTTGTTTTATATATTCCGGTTGTTTTTAACAACAGCAATGGACAATTGATTTCCGTTGGTGATCGTATCCGGCTACCGGATGATGTTACCATTGGTTATATTATTGAACATATGTTGGATAAAAAATTAACAGAAATTGATGAATTTCATTCACATTTGGAACCAATGGCAATGTTGGAGAAAAATTCGCTTAGAAATCAGGTAATGAATTTTTGTTGTTGTTGTTGTTGTTGTTTTTTTTTTTTTTTTTTCATTCAGAAAATTTTTTCTACTCATCATATGGCTAGTTTAAATAGTGAAAAAAAACCATATATATAGTTAATTATAGCTCATTTCCGTTCAAAGGAATCACTCGTGTCACAGTAGAGTGATTTCACTATATATGACCACCCATCATCATTAAGTAATCAAAAATTTTCATTGTGATTTTTTTTTCTCTCTCACACACACACACACAGGTTTCATTCAGTTATTCAGGCAATAATATCAATAATCGTAATGTTTTACAAATTAATCAATTGGATTCAATTCAAAATGATTCAACCAGGTAAGTTTGTTTGTTTGTGTTTGTTTAATATTTGATGATCATTAATAATTTTGTCTTTATTTTTCAATTTTATATGCAGATTTTATTCACTACATTGTTATCTGTTTCCCAGTTTGTGTGGATGGAAAAAATTTGACAAGCAGTTAAATTGAATTGAATAATCAATGATTTGTGCCTTTTCATCATTAAATTTTTTTTTTAAAACATATAAATGAAAATTATTGTAAAGCTTTATTTTGTTGTTCATCATCATCACTGTGATTGTTTTGATTCGTTTTTATTGTTGTCCATTGTTTTATTTATCAAATTTTGAAATAATGAAATAAAAAAATTTGAATTTTTGAAAATCTGTTGCTTTCTTCTCCACTCCAAAACAAAACAGAAAGAAATATTCTGAATCTGTACGTACATTATTTACAGGACACCAACTACAGTAATGTTACGACATTATATTTAATCATCATCAAATGATGATTTTCATCAATTTTGATAAGATAATCCGTAGGATGATCGAAATTAAATTACCAACCACATAAGCATTATTTAAGCCAATTGTTTATAAGCCGTTAATTTAATGGTAATAAAAAATAAAAATAATTATTAAGCAAAAATGAATAAAATTTTATTTGTCCATAATTATACCGTGAATAGCCTGTAAAAGTAAAGAGTTTTGCCACGGCATACATATTCGTTGTGTGTGTGTGTGTATGTATTGTGAAGAATAATTTTTGTCATTTATTTTATTTATAAAAATTTTTTTTTATTTCAAATTTCTTTTTTGGAATTCTTTTATAGTTTTTTTTCAAAAAAAAAATTCTAAATTGTTATTAATTAATCATGGCTACATCGTTGAATGATCCAAGTCAAGAAGAAACGGCACAAATTTTAGCTAAACTTCGTTCCAACAATGCCAACAAGGTTTGTTTTTTCCTTTGTTTTTTCATTTTACTAACTAGCAAAAAAATTCTTCATTTCTTCTTCAGACTTGTTTTGATTGTGGTAGTAAAAATCCATCATGGGCCAGTGTAACTTATGGTATTTTTATTTGTATTGATTGTTCAGCCATTCATCGGTCATTAGGTGTTCATTTATCATTTGTTCGGTCTACGATGCTCGATGCAAGTTGGTCTTTATCACAATTAAGATCGATGCAATTGGGTGGCAATGCTAACGCTGTAAGTTCTAATTACATTGTTTCGAAATTTCATTTTGATTATCGAATTTTTCTGTTTTGGAAAATAGCATTCATTTTTTCAGAATCACAATTGTAATAATAAAGATGCACATCAAAAATACAGTAGCCGTGCTGCTCAATTATATCGAGATAAATTGGCCGGATTAGTTGCCAATTCCATTAAAGTTTATGGAGATACTATAGATATTCCTACTTCTAAATCCGAATCAACTAGACATGATTCCATTGATGATGATTCAACGAAAGATTTTTTCGAAGAGGCATCAAATGCTTCATTATCACATTCAAATCTTCATAGTGGTGATGTATTTTTATCGGACAGAAAATCACCGAATATCAAATCATCAACTGAAGGCCCCAATGTTAATCTAAGTTTAGTCGATTCGGCTGCCAAATTGAGTGAATACAAATCAACAGTGATAGGGAAAAAATCTACAACAAATCGAAAACCGGCAGGCAAAAAAGGTTTAGGTGCTCAAAAGGTACGAACTGATTGGGATAAAGTTGAACAAGAAGCATTACAGACTGAACAGATGAAAACCAAATCCGTTAACAATGATTCTGGAACGAAATTAACTGCCGAAGAACAAGAGGAAAAATTCAATTCCATACGATTGGCCTATAATGAAAAACAAAAACAAGCTGAGAATAAATTGAAATCCGATCCGAATAAAATCTCACAAATTGAACGACTTGGTATGGGTTTCGTTAATACTGGTCGAACAAATAAATCACATTCGGCCGTATCCGATATGAAAGTTATTGAACAAAATAATTCCGTTGTTACATCATCAAAATCAAAGATTGATTCAATCACCGATCTTGGATTCTCATCAACTTCGTCCAATAATCGATACCAAGATTTTGTCAAATCAAATGATGATTTCTGGAGTGATAATGGATTATTGGCCGATAGTGGTAAAAAAGTGAAAAAACCTCAAGTATTTGACACTATACAGACAATTGATTTGAATGTAAAAAATAAGAATAAACCAAAACCAAACGAAGAATCAAATAATACATATTCGAATAAGAATGGTGTAAAAGTTGCAACATCATCATCATATTCATCATCTTCTAATGATGCACAGAAAAAGTTTGCTAATGCAAAAGCCATTTCATCAGAACAATATTTTGGTGGTGATCAATCTAATGTAAGTACTAGATTTTTTTTCTGAAAATAAAATTAATTATCATTTCATTACTATAGCTTGATTCAAGATCGACTGGTCGATTCGAAGGTTCAACAAGTATAAGTTCAGATGATTATTTTGGCCGTAAAACTGTACCAAATAATTCTATATCATCAAATTTCAATTCAACAGCTATGTATGATCTAAAAGAAGGTGTCAAGGACAATGTTTCACGGTTAGCTGGTCGTTTATCAAATCTGGCCACGGATGTTGTCAAATCGATCAACAAAATGGATATCATGCAAGGTTAAACATAATAATAATAATAAAAGAAACAAAATCGCCGAATCATTCGAATTTGTGATGAATGTTATTTTGTATACACACACACACACACACATATTTACACAAACATTAATCATCAACAACAACACATACATAACTAGAATTTTTTTTTATATATTATGAAAAGAATATTTTTACCTTGTTATACAATTTTTATTTTAAATGATTATGCGACACACATACACACAAACACGGACACAGACACACATTTTAGGTACCAGGGGGGAAAAAAAAAAGAAATGGATAATCAACATCAACACATTTTTGTTATTATATTTATAAAAGAAGAAAAGATTTTGTTAATTTTGCTCCGAAATTGTGTTTGTAACCATTTTTTTTTCATTCATTCATTCATTCGGATTTCCTTGATGATCCAAAAAAAGACTATTTTCATCACGCCAGATGGCAGTCAGTATTATTTGGATTTTTTTTTTTTGGATTCATCATTGATACTCTCCCATTTGATGATGATGATGATGATATATATCCAGCGCAAACTCATCATCATCATCATCATCAATATTAATGCAATATTTTTGTTTGGTTTTGCTTTGAGGATTTTTTTTCTACTTTCACTTTCCCTCCTACAAACGTATTTTTTATATATTATTTGGTTTAATCATCATCCATTCATTCATTCATCATTTTATAATTTTGTCAACAACAACAACAGCACAAACTATTGCATTTAGGATGTCATACAGCTAACTGTGTAAGCAACAATCAAAAAAAAGAACAACAACAACAATAATAATAAGATTTTGTATTGTATTGTGTTTTAAATGATTTTACAGTTTGAATATAAATGTCAGATAAATTTTTTTGTTCTTTAAAACAACAAAAAATATATATATTTGTGACGATGTTTTGTTTTGAAATAATCATCAATTGATAAGCGTTTTTTTTGTTGTTGTTCATAAATTAAATTCTTTGATGATTGGCCATTCGAATTCTGTATTGATATATAGCATTTGAATTGATTCGATATTATTTTTTCTCTCGAAATTATTATTTATTGATTTGAAAAAAATGGCTGATTTACTACAACGTTTTAGTGGTAATCCATTTTCCACTTCAGTCGGACAACGAATTGGTAACATTTTTATTTGTTTTGATTTATTTTTCTTTTTAAATTGATTTTTTTTTGGTTTTTTTTAAAACAGAACAAGCGACAGATCCATCAATGAACAGTGAAAATTGGTCATTGAATATGGAAATCTGTGATATAATTAATGATACTGAAGATGGGTATGTATTTTGGATTTTTAATTTGAATTTATTCATTTATATTGGACATTATAGTGCCCGAGATGCTATTCGTGCCATCAAAAAACGTCTTCAACAAACAGCTGGAAAAAATTTTACCGTTTTCAAATTAACATTAATAGTGTTGGAAACATGTGTAAAAAATTGTGGCAAACGATTTCATATATTAGTGTCAAACAAAGATTTTATTCAAGATTTAGTCAAATTGATTGGCCCAAAAAATGATCCACCAGCTGAAATTCAAGAAAAAGTTTTAAGTCTCATACAAAGTTGGGCTGAAGCATTTCATGGTCAGCCAGATATGCAAGGTGTATCCATTGTTTATAATGAATTAAGAAATAAAGGAATTGAATTTCCTAAATCATCCAATGAACCGAAAGTACCGATTTACACTCCACAAAGGCAAATTAGTCCATCCTCAAAAAATCAGGAAATAGCATCAAGTCCTCCTAAATATTCAATGCAAGAAACTTCACCTAATAAACAAGTGACATCGGCTACAAGAACCACAAGTGAATTATATCCATTACATTTGAGCCCTGAACAATTGAATAAATTGAAAACTGAATTGGAAGTTGTTCAAGGAAATATGAAAGTTATGAGCGAAATGTTGACCGAAATGAAACCAGGTCAAGAACATAAAGATGATTGGACATTGTTGATCGAATTACATCAGACATTAGTATCTATGCAAAAACGTATTATGGATCTAATTGAAAAGGTTGCCAATGAAGAAGTCACTAGTGAATTATTGCGTATCAATGATGAACTAAATAATTTGTTCATGAGATTTGATCGTTATCAGAAAAAACGAGGCGGTAATAATGGTAATGATCAAAGAACGGATTTTAATTTAATGCCATCTACTTCATCGAAATTACCTCATCCAAATCAGAAAAATATGAAATCAACAAATCAACCATCGTTGATTGATTTTACTGATGAAAATGATGAACCTGATTTGATTGGTGGCCTAAAGAAACTTGATATGAATTCATCACAATCATCTCAAATGACGAAGCCTTCTTCTAATAATATGATTATATCATCATCATCATCATCACAACAGCATGTAGAAAATATGGGTGACAAAGAATTCGATATGTTTGCACAATCCAGATCATCGACAACAGCCACTACATCATCATCGATCATTAGTCAGGCATCTACGTCATCATCATTATCATCGACGTCGAAACCATTGTTAAATGTTGGATCTCGTCCAAAAGATCCGGCACCATTACCATCTACCGAAGAGGCAAGTCAATGAATCTCAAATGTTTTTTATATGCATTTTTTCTAATTGCTTAATTCTCAGGGACAAGAAAAAGAAATGGAAGAAATTGAAAGATGGCTAAATACGAAACCCGGTGAACCATCTATGTCATTTGAAGCATTTCTTGAGAAACGAGCCAATGCATTGGACAAACAACCATTGAAAAAAACAAACAGTAATGGTCAACAAGATTCTAGTTAAAAATCTATGTGTGACCACATCAAACATCATATAATATTGGTACAAATAATACTGAAACATTTCGTTGATATTCTGTGCATTTTATTAATTTACAATTTTTAAATGATTCATCGATTTTTGAAGTTTGAATAAATAATTGTATTGAAAATGATTGTAATATTGAATTATATGTCAGGAGAAAAAACTTAAAAAAACAGTTATTATTCGTCATATTACATGAAGGTTTGTCGATAAATTTCTCCATAATCATCTTCTTGAATAATTTGGGTGTTAAATTGACCGGTGGCCATTGCCAATTTAGCTACCAATAAATGTTTACACCATAGTTGTTTTTCAAATTGAATGAAATTAAACATAAATGAAAAACAACTACAATAATTTCCATTCACAAAACAATTATAGTGGATTTTATTTGATCTACGACGATTTGATTTCTCTCCAACACGAATGAATGATCGTCCTGATGGGCTGGTTAATAATGTTACATTGTTTTGATCATATAAACCCAATGCATCGATAAATGACGAACCAAGTAGAGAAAAAAATCTATACAAAACAAATTTTGAATGAAAAATTGGCTTTCGATTTTTCTTTTCGACAAAAACAATTTTCAACTTACTCAAATATTTTATGTTCATTAACTATAAAATAATTTTCAATAAATGATTCATTTTTGTCAATAATAAATATCACATTTAAACTTACATTTTCCAGTAGCTAATAATTCTTCATAAAGATGGTTAAATATTTGAATTGATGTTGAAGTCATTTTTTAAAATTAAGATTCACTTTTCTTGTAATAAATAAATAAATAGTTTTTCAATTTAAAATCATCGAATAAAGTTTTTATATGCCTGGAAACTTTTTTTTTATTGGCGCCAATTCAATGCATGGAACTATTCTCAAGCTCTGAAACGATTTCAAATTTTTCTTTTTGGGATCTTTTATGATCCAAATATGAATATTACAATAGTTCAGCAGACAATTATCTTGTTCATTTTGGCATATTCAATTGTTCTAGTTTTTCTTCTCAAAGCAAGCAACAAATATCCAATCCAATATCAATTAACAGAACATCATCATCATCCGAAAACGACGGGTGTTATTTTCGAATTTGAAAATTTTCAAAATGATCTCTTTGAAACTGTAAAAAATGTCTGTGTTAATGTTGATCTGGTGATTGTATTCAGTGAAACATTTATTTATCCAACGATTGATTTTGCAACCATTTCTGATTGTCGGATCAAATTAATTGAATCAGAAAAATCTATAAGTGATAGTTTTGAACAAAAAAATGTTTACAATTTCATCCAAAATGATTATTTGCTTATCTTACCTGATTATACACGAATCTATTATCCAAATAATTTATCGATTATCGATGATCTTGTATCCAGAATAAATCAAGTCAAAGCTGATGCTTTGTTATTAACTTTTTCAAATGATAAAAACAAAACCAAATGTCACTATTTTAACCTCGACATACGTCGTTGGACATTGAATTTTGTTGATAATGGAACCAACTGTTTTTACAGAAATGGATTTGCTTTATTTTTACCTAAGCGAATATTTTTCAAATTATCCTATCCTTTACTTCGTCCTTTCTTACAATCATTTTTGATACAATCACAAATATTGAATATAAAGGTTTCCATTTTTGATTCACCTTTATTTCTTTTTTCGAATGGATTGGAAATATTTTCTGATCATTACACTAAAAGTAAACATGATCATCTGGAAAAACAACGACTTGAATCAATGTATGTGAAATTGGGCATCAAGAAAATTGTCAATCGCACAGATGATTCGATCGAATGGTATGGTTGTGATAGAAATCGACCAAGATGTTTTGGTTCGATCACAAACGATATGCCAGATTATTTGATTAAAAATCGTTGGCTTCCACCTTGTTGTCGACGTAATCTTGAAATAACTGGACGTTATGTTTTTAATTTATTAGAGAAATCTAATGTTCGTTATTGGCTTGAAGGTGGATCACTGCTTGGTGCAGCTAGAAATGGTAAGATTATTGATTGGGATTATGATATCGATATCGGTATCTATCATGAAGATATGCACAAATTATCGATTCTACAAATTTTATTCGATAAACCATCTGGTTATCATGTTGAAGATGGACAAGGATTCGTTTGGGAAAAAGCATTGGAAGGAAATTTTATCAAAATTCATTATAGTTTAATCAATAGGATACATGTTGATATTTTTCCATTTGTAGCTTTGAACGGTACAATGACCAAAGATACTTGGTTCGAAAATCATCCACAAGATATGCCTTTTCCGGAATATTTTCTGAAACCATTGAAACAATTATCATTTATCGGCATCAATGTAAGCGTACCGAATAATGTTGAAAAATTTTTGGAAATGAAATTTGGTTCCAATGTCATTGAAGAGCGTCGATATCCGAATAATCAGACAATTGATTGAATAACAAGAATTTTTTTTATTTCGAATTTATTTAGAAAAAAAAATTTAATCAAAACTAGCCCATATAACAAATTCAATACATTTGAAGTGCAGAATAAAATAAAATGATGATTTTTGTTTATCATACGAATGTTAATAGCAATGTACGCTAATTAATGAAAATAACAAAAATAAAATTAGACAAAATTTTTCTACCATTTTCATCTATAAATATCCATCGGTTGATTGATTAGTTTACGTTTCTTCTTTCGTTTTATCTTCATTTTTGTTGTTAGCCGAAATTCTTCCACTACTATTACTGCTACTACTTGTAGTGGCCAACATAATATCCGTTTCGAAATTGTTTTTATTATTCTCATATAATAGAATATTCAACATTTCTTCATAGATACGAGCTTCAGGAAATTCTACTTTTGTATGTTTTTTATCAGTAGCATATACGATCGATGTACAACAAATTTCGGCATCTTTTTTTCCATTACCATAAAAACTCCAACAACAAATCTCATTACTACAAACAATATCTTTCATGAATAGAACACGATTACAGAATTTCAATGAAAGTTTATCAAATAGATCCAAATTCTTCAAAAGATTTTCATCCGATGCACTAGTATAGGAATATTTATTGTTATGTCGATTAAATATCAATTTAATGGCTGGTTTATTGGTCAATGCTAACAATTTGGATTCTTCAGATTTTGATCGTATCAACTATATATATTGGAGAAAAATGTACAATTCATTCAATAAAATTATTGATGATGAAAATATTCACATACCGGTACAGAACAGACAGGTTCCATGATTTTACATTCTTTGTGTTTTTTCAAAGCATTTTCACAAATATCGATCAAATCTTGTATCAGATAATATTTGGATTCAATTAAAAGTTCAGTCAATTCATGTTGATTATCGGGTAATGGAATACTACCATCACGTAGGAAATTTAAAATTTTACCAAAATGTTTACCACAACGATCGATTAGAATCCAACCTGAAATACATTAACATTAACAATGAAAATTTTAGTGTAAATTTTTTATTCGACAATATTTTCCATTACCTTCATCATCTTTGTATACATCCATACGACCACTAAACATTGCCCTTAACATTGAATCCACTTTGGTCAACGTACTGATCGTTGTATAATGCTATGATGATTCATCTATATATCAATCTATAATTGTAAAACATATCCAATAAATACATACCAATGTTCCACCAACATTAAGTTTAATGTAATCATTGCTCTGAAAAATGTCCAGAAAAAAAACAATTATAAATCAGCAAAAAAAAACCATGGATAAAAATACCCGAATAGGCAGTAATTTTTGGTCATCAAAATTATCCATGAATTGATGATTGTTCCAATAAAATCGTTCAACAAATCGTGCAAATATAATGATTGAAATATTGCACCATCAACAACAAATAACAACAACAACAACAACAACAACATAAGAATGTTATTATTATGACACATTGCAAAATATCCAATAAATTTCAGACACTAGATGGCACCAGGAGAATAATATGAATGAATTTTTTTTTTATTTTGAATAAAATTTATTTATTTATTTTTAATTACGAATTCAGTGAAAAAAAAGTTCATATTTGCCATTACATTCATCATTCAATATGTACACACATATTTTATCATATTATAATAATGTGTCTTAAAATTGATTAAGAAACATAATTTGGATTTTTACGTAGAATGACAAAACCTTCAAGTATCGGTGTTAATGGTGTATATTCTTCGGTGGCCAATTCGGCACGTTCACCAATTGATAACAAAACCGGTGTTGTATGTGTTTGAAATCCAGTAATTGTTTTCGGTTTTCCTGCTTGTCCAACAACATCGACAGCTTGACCAACACGAACCGGTACTGGCAATGGATTCAATTGTTCATCGAATGTTATCAACATTCGTGGCTGTATGGCTGGCACCAAAAAGTAGATCAAATAATGTGCTTTAAGAATCGTATATTTTGGATCGATTAAGCTGATCAAAACCACCAACAATCCAGCTAAAGCAGTTGGCAACAAAAGTTGACGATCCGAATGGAAAGGTGATAATGTCAACGTTCCTTTGCCCAAATGAGTAAGACCTTGTGCCAATCGAACCATGAATAAACAATTCGGTTCTTTAACATGATATTGGGCCAATTGACGAAGCATAGTGGCTAATCGTGCATTATTCGTTCCAGCACCAATTAAACCCATGGCAAAAATAGCATTACAAGCAACTTCAGAATCAGAATCATGGCTAAATTTGCTCAACGTTTCGAGAAGATTCAATTTAGGATTGGATATAGATGTCAATGCTAAGGCCAATGGAACCGATCGTTTAACCATTGAATCACCGTAACGCAATAAATGACCAAATGTTCGGAAAGCCATTTCGCAGCTAATATCTTCAGACATAGCAATCAAACCAATACCAATGGTAGCAATTGCTTGTTGAATATTGAATTCAGAGCTCGATGAATTACTATCGGAACTATTACTTTTGGAGTATGAACTACTCTTTCTAGATGATGATGATTTTGAACTTGAGCTACTGCTACTATTGCTGCTGCTGCTGCTACTGGAACTTGAAGATGACGAGGTCGATGATGTTGTTGATTGTTCGGCACTGGAACCACTTTGATCATCACCACCATCTTCGGATTTACTGTTTGAACAAATATGCAATAAAGATTGAATTTTCAATACATTTCCAGTGGCAGCATAAGCACACACTTCCACTATTGTTTTGGCCATTGTTTTGAATTGTTGATTTTGGATCACTTCCAATGCTTCGATAATGGCTTCACTACTGTTTTGTTTGCCAAGAATGCAAAGACCCAATGCGAATGGTAAGAATCGTGCAAAATAATCTTTGACATCAACATCGGATTTTTCAATCAATACTTGAATGATATTCGATGTTACTTCACTATTTCCAGAACCAACTGCAATTAAACCACAGGCTAATGCGGTGACACCAATCACTTCTATTGAAGCTTTTTCGAATAAAACCGGTGTAAGCAATGAAATTAAATCTGCACGATTACTGCCAGCATATGCCAAACCAAGACCAAGAATGGCACCAATTTGGATCGTATTCGAGCTGTTTGTCACATAATCAGCCAACAAAGCCAATGCAGGATCACAATCATTACGTACACCACTATTGACAATACCACAAGCTAACAAAGCACCAGCTTTAATATTATCTTCTTTTGAATAAAGATATTTATCAATTTGAGCTAAACCACCGTCTACGTCCCACAATAGAATCAAACCCAATGAACCGGTAGCGCTAAACATGCCCAAATCCTTGTTTTTGTAAAGCCATTTATTGCCTTCATCATTCAACAGGACTTTATCTTTGCCGAATGCAGAATTAACGAAACCATTTACGAACGATGATGCCAAATTATAACGTGCAGAATCGACACTAGTACTATACAATCGATTCGGTGCTTCCAAATGCGATTTATAAATATCGTCCGGTGTTTTCGGTTCCATAATATCCAATTCACGAGCCAATGTTAGAAAATGTGTATTCAAATGTGAATTGGATGAAATATCCAGCAGATCACTGTTTTCAATTTCCAATATAATTTGTTGACGACCAATCATGTAAGCAATTTGTTTTTGAATCGATGGATCTTTTTCGGCTTTATCGAAAATCTCTTGAATAGCCTCGATATCTTGCAATTGCATAGCTACACGAATAGCTTCAGTTAGTTTATCATATTTCAAAAAGATTGACATGATTGTTTTCAATAAATTAGTGTTATCCGGATCCGGTACAAATGGAACTACACTACGTAAATATAGGCAAACTTTTTGACATAAATCTTCATTATCAATGTATTTGTCAAGAAGATCGAGACGTTCGATTTCAATCAACAAATCACAAGCTTCAGCTTCGGCATTATGACGCATATTATATGGGATAATTTCTTCAACTAAATTAAGCAATTTTGCTTTATAATCATCATCCAATTCAGCTGTAGATTGAAATTCGGTTGCAATTTCACCAGAAATATGGCGAACATATTCATGGCCCCATGATCCAATCGATTCAACTTTGCTGCCAATCAAACGAAATTTCAATGCTTCACCATTAGTTTTATGTGATTCAGAATCAATAGTCATGGCCAGAATTGAAATAATATCGGCCAATAAATTTTTTGTTTCTTCAGTCGGCATTTTTTCATACAAATTTTTCAATGTATCATAATGTGGTCGCAAAAATTTCAATGGTTTCGGTACGGATGTCATCGATGTTGTTGAACTTTTAATCTGTGTACGTAATGCTTCCAAAGCTGGTTTGTAAAGCGATTCATTCGATTCTTTTAAACGATGTACATACAATTCTAATTCTTCTTGCAATGCTTTGTCCTCTTCACTTAGCTCTTCTTGTTGAATTTTATCCTTTGGATCAACGGTACCGTTGGCGGATTTTTTGCTCTTTTCAGATTTTTCATTTTCATTCGATTTGGTTTGAGAATTTTCTTCAATCTTCATGATGAATTTTTTTCAAAAATTTTAAACGTCGTTTATTTTCAAACAAAGAATCAAGTAAAATCAAAATGAATTGACAATGGCAATAAACACAAAAATACACACACACAAGTTACAATGCAGAAATCAAAATGCTGATTCACGGACTGACAGACAGACAAACAACCAACTATGAATTTTGCTCAGTAAAGTCAATATAGTTGATGGTGTAGAATTAGTCGCTCGTAATTCTGTTTTGTTTTGGATTTGGCGGCCAAAAAATATATTGCATCAACATGGAACCAAAATATGGTTTATTTAAATTATCAAAAAATCCACCGAAGAAATCCGAATTGGTTCAAAAATCATCAATATTCGGTGATTCAGATTCGGATGATGATACCAATGTACCGCCAGCATATCATCATTCATCGAATCTAAAACGACAAACTCAATCAAAAATTCAAAAAGCTGTCGAACTGGATCCAACCATCTTTCAATATGACGAAGTTTATGATGAAATTAAAAGTCAACAACCAGCGGAAAAAATTGTCGGTCAAATTGATAAAAAGCCTAAATACATTAGCAATTTGTTGAAGATGGCTGAAACTAGAAAACTTGAACAAGAAATTCGTTTGGAACGAAAAATTCAAAAAGAACGTGAAAAAGAAGGCAATGAATTCAAGGATAAAGAATCATTTGTTACATCATCATATCGAGAGAAATTGGAACAGATGCGAAAAACGCATGAAGAGATGGAAAAACAGGATGCTATCGAAAAAATGCTAGATGTTACCAAACATGGTGATCTCAATGGATTTTATCGAAGTTTGTATAAAAATAATATGTTTCAAGATAAAAATGTTGATGATGACAACGATGATGGTGATTCGACTGCAGATAAAATAGTGTTCAATAAATCAAATGTCAATCGAAACAAAATCAGCATCCGTGAACGGGATACGATAAAAACCGATGGCTGTGATGAAGATGATCAAAATGATGATGAAACAATGGCCGTACCTGAAAAGAAATCCGAAGAAAATGATGAATTATCCAGCAAAAAATCAATGAATGAAGAAAAAACAAAAGATGTTGTTGAAACTACCAATAAAAATAACATTTCATCCATTCCTCAATCGACGGTGGAAGAAGAAAATAAAAATTCTGAACAAGTAAACAAAGAACCAGAAGAACCACCAAAATCGCCACCAAAACCAAAATTATCACGCAAAGAATTGATAGAAAAATTATTCACCAAACGAACTATTGGTGATGTTTATGAACAAGCTAAACAACGATATCTTGAACGGCGACAACAAAGGCTTTTAAAAACTTGAATTTTCTTTATGTTTGTTTGTTTGTTTAATATTTACAAAATAAATAATCAATTCAATAAATAAATGATAAAAGCAGAGATTTTTTCCAAATATCAAAAACAAAAAATCAATCCATTCAGACTTGAGTCCATTGTGTGGCATTTTGATGATGAAATCGATGTGAATGTGGTGGCCTTGTTAATGGTTGACCTGTGTGATGAATGAAATTTAATTTTAAAAATTTTTCAACTGAAAATTTCTCAATGCTTACCATTGATTGGATTGATCGGTACGTTACCACCACCACCAACAACAGTGGTACCATTAGAAATTTTTAAACTTGTTGCTCCACTACTTGTTGTTACGGTTGTCACCGGTGTCGAATCACCAACAACAGATTTGACATTCATCATTGTGGATGTGTTGGATTTTAAATTTAATAAATTTTTTGCTATAGATTTAACTGGTGAAGAATTTTTTGCCGGTGTTGATGATGGTGATGATGATGATCCACTATTATTGTTTGTTCGATTATTATTACCGGTTGTTAAACCAAATAATTTGAATGCACGATATAATCGGCTAAATCGGCTTGGTTTTACATTTGCATTTGTATTATCTGTATCATCATTGTTACTATCATCATCATTCGTTTGTATTTGTCTAACATCATTTGTATTTGATGATGATTTGATTTGAATTTCTGTATAAATATTCTCTTTAGGTCTTTGATTATTAGTCGATTGAATTTGATCATTGAAACAAATTTTTCTATTACTATAAATTGATTCATTCATTGTAGTAGTAGGAAGATGTTGTACATTATTAGTAATTCTTGCCGTTAATGATTTTGATCGAAGTGGTGGATGTTGTGGTGCTGGTTGTTGATGTTGAGATGGTGGTTGTGATGAGATCATTGGAACCGATGGTCTTTGATTCAAAATTGATGATGATGATGATTCGTTGTTGTACCATAGATTGGTTCATAATAACCATGTTGTTGTAAAATTATTGGTTTAGCTTGATGTTGTTGAAAACTCATTACATCAATATATGGTGAATAATTTCCATAATGAGAATAATCTTGTGATGATCTTGAATGTGTTTGCTGCATTGGATGATGATGAATTTGGTTTGTTTTTTGTTGCTGCTGTTGAGCAATTTGTGAATGAAACATGGCCGATGGCTGTAATGGAAATGATTTAGCAATCAATGAATTTGAATAAATTGCATTGGATGCGGTGACAAAATTATTAGTATCACAATAATTCATCGATTTAATTGGAGCTTGTAATGATTGCGATGGATGTTGTTGTGATGATAAAATATTGTAATGTAATTGTCCACCGATACCATTTGTTGTTGTTGTTGTTGATGGCGGAAAAAAAGCTGTAGTCATTGTAGCTAAATTAGGTGATGATTGATAGCTAAATTTTCGTGCACCCAATTGATCATAAATCGATTCTTGTCCACGATGATGATGATGATGATGATGATGGTGTTCATAATTAGAATTAAGATGTTGATGATGATGTTCCATTGTACGTGATGATTGCATTCGATTATGATGATGAATTGGCTGGGCTACTGTTACAATTAATCGACCTTCAGATGTTTTGATTATACAAGAATCATCCAAAACATGTTGATATGTTCTCGGTGGTTTTGGTGGTGCATTTCTTGTCGATTCATTCAATGATGGTGGACGATTATTATTGTTGTTTCGATAAATAGGCATAGGATTTTGGTTATTGTTGATGTTTGTTGATTCTTTTGTATCTAAAATCACAGATTGCTGTTGTTGATATACTCCAACATTTTTTTCAGATTCAATTGCTACAGGTGAATTTTCCGGTGTATCCTGTTCATCGGTTGTTGTTGGTGTACTAACATTATCAAAACAAATATCTTGAACTTTTGTACGATTTGATAAGGCATTTTTCTCCTGATTCAATACTAGATTTGAAAAATTGAAATTCTTTTTATATACACTTAATTTAGCAGCACTTAACGTATAGCTTTTTGCTTTACGATTAGGAAGTTTTGGTTGATTGATTTCTAAATGAAAATTGAAATTAAAATTACGAAAATTTTCCTTAATACTTTGACTTCGTTGAAGACGATTGGTGGTCATGGTTGCTGTTGTATGGTTAGTCGATGGTGATGATAATGATGATGATGACGACGATGATGTAGATGGTTGTTGATTATCAGAATTCTGATCACATTGTTGTTGTTGTTGTTGTTGTTGGGGATGATTATCAAAAATGGCTTTTAATTTAGCAATACTAGGTCTTCGTATTACTGTTGCTTTACCGATTAATTTTTCATGTGCAGGTCTTGCCTCTTCTGTTTGTGAATCATCTGTATCTTGTTGCCTTTTCAGTGATTCTTCTAACGTTCTATCATTAGATTCTGTATTAGATTTTCGTTCATCTGAACTTGGTTTTGGTTGATCATCATTTTCTTTATCATTATCATCATTAGGATTATCGTTTGATGGTATCATATCATCAACTATTGTTAATGAAGATAATGATGATGATGATGATAATGATGACGATGATGATGAAATAGAATCGTCATCGTGTTTTTGTTCATCTAGTTCGACATTAGGAATTGTCATATTTTTAATACCCAATGGTTCACCATCATCATCGACATTTTCATATGTATGAGAATCAATAAGTTTAAGGTGCTGTTCGAATAATGTTGAAACAGCTCTATAGCAAAGCATATATTGTTCAACTGTTTGTACCATGGCAATTCTTTGACGACGCATATCACTAATAATTTCAAATAGGCTAAAATCTTCACGAAGTTTTCCCGTTCTCAGTAATGCCCAAACATAATCAATACTGCATAATGTTCCAGTGCGACCACATCCAGCACTACAATGTACCAATATTGGTCTTGATTCTGATGATTGCACATCACGCATTAGACGTACTAATTCTAAAATAGGCTGTACAGAACTTGGAACACCATGATCTGGCCATGTTGTATAATGAAATTGACAAATAGTTCGTTCTTCATTATCGGCAGTAACTTTGAAATGTTCGAACTAAAAAATCTGGGCATACCTGTCGCCATTTAACATGTTCGACAGTAATATTACCGTATTGCTGTTTTTCGTCCGTATTCATTGGCCAATATGGTTCACATTTATATTTACCAGCTTCACGTTCATTACAAGCCATTACGATAACTAAAATTTCTGTTTCCCATATCATACGCCAAAAATCTACCAATGTATTTGGTAATGGACCTTGTGATGCTATATAAGCACGTTGATTACCGGATGAACCACGTACATAATTAGCATTGATATAATCAGAACCAGGCACACCAGGATATTCAGATAATATAACACGGCTATTATCATCTATAGATGAATAATTTAAATTTATATAGAATGAGCAACAAGTGTGTGCTATACTTACAAGGAAGAATATCTTTATAACGATTCTTTTTTCTATTCACATCACTATGACCTTCAATCATTGGACAATTGACATCATTTTTTAGGGATTCAGTTAATTCTTTAAGTTTTAAAAATTCTTGTGCATATAATGATAATGGTGGCGGTGTTGAACGCCCAGTATCGGCCATCTCTTTGATAGCTTTACGTGAATGTTGAAGACTTTGTTCAAGTTTTTCATAATGATCAAGAAAATTTTTCAAAACATTTCGAAGTGGAGATTTTCCCATTTTTTTCGGTTGATTTCTGCACGGTGTAAATTCAAAATAAATACAAGTCTGATGATTTCATTGAAAAAATTTTCGATTGATAAGAAAAAAAATTCCAGAAAATATTTTAATCACCGATAATTTGAAACACTAAACACATGCACCAACACATTTCTTTTCTTTTTTTTTTGTTTGTTGCAAAAGAATTTGACTGCAGGCAATGAATTTTTGAATGAATTTTTTTTACGTTGTAAGTGTGTGTATGTATTATTATCAATAAAAAAAAATTCGGCATTCACCACACACACACACAGAGAGAGAAACTCACTCTCGCTATCGCTCATTCACACCAAATATATATTGGCATGTGTTTACAAGTCGACAACGAATTTTTTTTTTCTTCATTCAACTGAACTAAATTTAAAAAAAAAAATTCTTCAAAATCAAATAACGATAACAACAACAGCAACAACAACAATAAAAAGGCAGATACAGAGTAGGACTAGCTTATGGTTATAGTTATGTGCCCAATGAATCATCATCAAATGACCAAATGAGGGAAGGAAAAAAAAACTTTGAAATACCACAATATATATTGACAACAACAACAACAACAACAACAACAATCTTGAGATTCATTCAACTCACACACACACACACAACACACATAATTCAATGGTCGGATATACAACAAACAAGAGCAACAATTGGCTTTGCTTCTCGCCATATTTTTTTTTTCGTTCGTGGTCGAATGGTCGTCGTAAAAAAAAAGAAAGAAAGATAGAGAGGTTGAGGTTGAAAGAGCTTAGAACACACATATAACGACAACAGCAAAGATTTTCATTGAAAATTTTTTTTTTCCTTCTTCATTTATCTTTAACCTGATTTAGTGGGTGTGTATGTTGGCGGTGGTGGTTGTTGTATAAGAAGGGTGGGGGAGTGTAGCCTGTTTTTTTTAATTTCTTACCATTAATATTCGTCTTCGCCCTACATTGGATCAAACAAAACGTGTGTAAGTCGCGTGTGTGTGTGTTTTTGTGTTTTTGAATTCTTTTTATGTTTGGTAATAATTGTGTACGACTATAGTGCATTATTCTTGAATGTTGAATTCTTTTGATTTATTTTGTTGTTACGTCGTTTATGTTTAGTTCATAACATGCCGAATTTTGTTTGTTTTGAAATCATGTGATTTTTGAAATCATCGGCTGGCTTGTTGCCAAATTGAAATTCTATTCGAGTTGTTTTTTTTTGTTTCATTAAAATTCAGGACATTTTCATTATTTGAAAAATGAATCCATTAACGTAAGTATTTTATGTGAATTTATTCAATCATTTATATTTATTTAAACCATCAATTGAATACATAGGAATGTAAAAAATCTTACCAAACTTTGTGAACGTGAATTGGAATTGGGTATCAATGTGGAAAATTCATGGCATCAAATGTATAAAGATAGTGCATGGATTTTTATTGGTGGCCTACATTATGATCTATCTGAAGGTGATATTTTAGCGGTATTTTCACAATATGGTGAAATTGTCAATGTAAATTTAGTACGTGATAGAAAAACTGGAAAAAGTCGTGGATTTGCATTCCTTTGTTATCAGAATCAACGTTCTACAATTTTGGCTGTAGATAATTTTAATGGTATAAAATTATTGAATAGAATCATTCGTGTTGATCATGTTGAAGAATATAAGATTCCTAAAGAACATGGTGACATTACCAATGAATTAAAAGAATTATATAATGAAGGATGTGCACCGAAACCAATCGAACAATCACAGACATTGCCAGCTGAAACAAATTCAAATGTTGTTGCTGTTCAAGAACAAAGTAATCAATCATCAAATCATCATGATAAGGATCGAAAACGAAAAAAAGAATCTCGATCACCAAAAAAATCAAGCCGATCTCATCATCATCATCATCAACATAAATCATCATCATCATCGACATTGAAAAAGCATAAAAAACATTCCAAAAAACATCATCATAAACATAAAAAATCGAAGCATTGATTAATTTAATTTCAATTCTCATTAAAACAATCATTTTTTTTGCATTTGTAAAAAATCCAGTTAATAAAAAAAAAAGATGACATAAACAAACATTTCGTCATTCAATGTTTTCTTTTAAAAAAAATAAGTAGACAATATTATCATTTTCATTCAAATATTTGCTTCATCAGCGATCCTAGATGCATTGTAAAATTTATCTTCAGAATATTTTTTCTGAATTGCTTGCTGTGGATGTTTATTTGCATACAAACGTAATTGATTCAATGCTTCCAATAGATTATTTCGTTCAATCAACAATTGTAATGGATCACCTTGATTGGCTAATTGTTTTTCATATGATAATGATTGTTGTAAAAATCATCGGAAATAATATTTGAAATTCGTAAAATTTTACCAGCCAACATTATTGAACAAATGGCAATTTCACTTGGATAATACTTTAAAAATGGTGTACATTCTAACGTGGTCAAAAGATTTAAATACTGGTAAGGAATGGGAGAAAAAAAACCATTAGCAAAAACAAAATGGAAAATATAGATGACATTAATTACTTTGGCAAGACAATATATTTGTTTGTCCAAAACAAGTGCAGTTGAAAACATGTCCAGAAAATAATTACTTGTTGGCACTGAAACATCGAATGACAAACCCTGTTTGTTGTTTGTGGGAATGATTAAGAAAATTTAAAAATGAAATTTTTTTTTCTTAAAAATCTTACATTCAATATGGTTTTTTCCATGACCAATATCTGTGCTTTAGTGAATGAATCATCCGTAATATATACAAATTCTGCCAATTCTGGTGGATAGATTTCTTCATATTTTGAAGCAATAAATAAAGCTGAGGTACCTAATAATTGAAATTCTTGTCTTGTAATAGAAAATTTCGATAAAAATCTATAAACATGAGAAACAAAATGAAAAATTATAATAATAATATTGATCAACAATCACTTAATTAATAATAGATGTAATAGACAAACCGATCGATATAGTTGATGGTCAAAAATAGTGTTTCATCTTTTAATTTATATTCATCGGCAACATCGACCAACCAATCGACTAGGATTGAACGCATTTTTGTATTGATATTTTGTTGTTTACTCATATAGAATGGATTCGGCATAAATTGTCGTTCTTTTTCAAGCATATACTGCCAAATATTCAATGAATAATCGCTAAGTAAATCCAATTCTGGATAATGTTGCACATAACTTATATCCGAATGTAATGATAAAACTGATTGACAATTTTCTTTTTGATTATCCAAATCATCATTGTCATCGACAACCATATCGATATCATCATCATCATCAACATCGTTATCAGTATTCGAGCAGACATCATTCTTTTGATCATTCTCTTTGTCAGAAAATGATTGCAAACATTGATCACGAACATTTTGATAATCAGAACAAATAGATTTTTCTAAAGAATCGATGAGAAAATTGTTTAACTCTTTTTTTACAGCTTCAATATTTTCTTGAAGTAATTCTTCTTGATTTTTACCTTGTATTGATTGTTCAACAACAATTGGACTTTGAACATCTTTATAAATCTTGAATGTTTGTTGTTGTTGTTTTTGTTGCTGCTGTAGATACTGTTGTTTAATGCAAACATTTTCTTGATCATCTAGAATAGATGTCGATACTGATTTTGGCAATGATGTAACAAATGATTGTGATTTTAATGATGAAAAATTATTTGGTCCATATTGATGATGATGGTTATTATTTGGTTTCTGAGCAAGAACATTCTGTTTATTATTATTGTTGTTGGCAGGATTTTGACTAATACAGGCCAATGCTTTTCGTTGGCCATTTGGTTGAATTGTTTGTCCAAAAGCACGTGACATTTTTCCGCTGATAATGGTAATGGATTTTTAAATATGAGATCAAAAAAAAACAATTTCAATATGTCTTCGTAATGACGATAATGATTTGAACACAAAAAAATATGATGATAATAATAATCATCAACAGAATAAAACGGCAATATATTCAACCATTTGTAGTTGATGATCATCAAAAAAAAACGAACGAACGAAATAAGAAAATGTCGACCAATAAAAGAAACAAAAACAACAAAAAAAATGCGATATTCGGGCTGTTTTGTTCTCTATTTTATCAGTGACGTTCGATATGAGAACCCAAAAAAAAAATTCAATTTCAAACTTGAACCACGACCACCACCACCACTATCGAGAGACAATACTATTTGACGTTATTTTATTTTAAGATTTTCGTTTTTTTTCAAAATTTCACTTTCGACCTTAGAGTATTATAAAAATGATGATGATGAAAAAAATTTATACTGAACACAAATCGAATTAGCCGTTTGGCTTTGAATGTTTGATTCAACAACGAAAGCGCCAAATGTCAACGGGCAAAAAAAAAAAAAAAATATATACCTACTGATGATGGTAGTGGTATACAACTATAGTGAATACATTCCATAAATCGGTTGCGCTAGCTATTATGGCTGCAGCCATGAAATTGTTGTTGTTCGTTGAAAATACAGTGATATCTTGCTTATAATAATAATAACAATAACGATAATGATGACATTTTGTTTCAAGAATCGAAATCATTCATCATCATCATTTTAAGAAGTAAAATTTTTTGATTAAATATAATGAAGAAATAAATCAAAAACGATTCAATATAGTTCCAAATTCTGATGAATAATGGCTAAATCTTACAGTGTTAAGCTTTGGGCTTATATCGAAATACCACTGTAAAAATTGGTGTTTTTTTATTGAACTAAGAAAATATAAGCAACATAATGATTTGTGGATGGATTTTAATTTCGAAAAAGGAATGGACAACCACCACCACCACCAAAACTGTTGTAAACAATTGATTTTCAAACGAAAAAAAAAATTCCAAAGTTTTTTATTGGTTAATCGATATATATTTCCACTACCATACATTGGTCACAATTGACCATACTGTATTATCGTCTGTTAATGGATCCAAAAAAAAAAAATTCAAATTTTGGTATTTTTTGTTTCTTTTTGAACATTTTATTTGATTTATTTGAAAAAAAAAATTTTTCATTCTGGAACATTTTCTTTTTTAGATTAGATCAAAACAAAATCAATTTGCACACATCCGATATATTAGATGGTTTATGGTTCCTGGATCTGAACGACTACTTTGCCAAGATTTTTTCCACCATGTAAATGCTGTAAATGGACAAAAAAAAATTTAATATAAATTCTCAATATAAAAATGGCCAAAAAAAAATCCAACTTACCTCTTCGGCACGAACCACTTGTTCTAAGCCGAAAAATTTACCTTCCGATGTTTGTTCACCAAGATCAACGGCTACTTTAATTTCACCTTTATGTACTTTTGGAATTAATTGACCAAAATATTCCTGGAAATGTTCCCTATAATTCATCAACATGAAACCGGTCAATGAAAGTGATCGCATAACCAACTAAATAATGAATTTTTAGAATTTAAATTTAACCAAATTCATGAGTCTTTTATACTGACTTTTGTATGTAAATTTGGAATTGAAACATCGACAAAACCATGACCTTGATCACCACTATAAGTGGTAATACTACCAATCAATACCATTCGACCTTTGATGGCTAAATGTTTGAATAATGTGCTGAATACATCACCACCGATCGTTTCCCATACGACATCAATACCATCGGGAAATTTTTCACTCAATACTTGATCAATATTATCGGTCTTATAATTGATAATAAAATCAGCACCCAATTTTTTTAGATATTCAGCTTTCTTTTCCGAAGATGTCATAGCAATGACATATGCACCACGATGTTTAGCCCATTGTACAACAATTTGTCCAGTACCACCGGCAGCAGCTGTAACCAATACTTTATCACCAGCTTTTATATGGCCAGCTTTATCCAATGCAATTGAAGCTGTTAATCCATTAACATATGTAACCAAATAATCAGGTTTAAGTTCTGGTAATGGTATCAAATGTTTTGGCGATGAATAAACATATTCAGAGAATCCAGCTCCATTCAATGCCAGAACTGGTTGTCCTTTTTTCAATGTTGTTGTTACATTCGAACCAATTTCATCAACAATACCCAATGCTTCTAATCCAATATCGAATGGTAATTTACCATCGGTAAAATAACGTGCAGCCGTTATATTAATATCAGTAGCATTGACACCAGCATAGATATTTTTTACACGAATTTCTTCATCATTCGGTTTGACCAATGGACATTCAACCAATTTGGTTGCTTGACGAAAATTTGTTGTTTTAGTAAAAACTTGTAGTTTTTTATACATTGTTGTTTTGTTTTATTATTATTTTTAATAAACCAAAATAAAAACACAAAATTAGAATGAACGAATCTCTAATTTTATGATCGATATCGATCGATATTTATATGAAGAAAAAAAATTTTCAAGTGCAAACAAATCAAACCAAAAAAAAATCAGAAATATTGTTGTCATTGATTGATTCAATTTGATGATGATGATTGTACTTGATTTCCACACTCTGTTTCTGTCTCTGTTTTTGCCCAAAACAATCGTTGTAGTGGTATTTTTTTCTTATCATCATTTTTTGGCTAAAATTAACGAGTACTGTTTATATGTGCACTCGGTAAAAGTGGCGACTAGCTGGCTTCAAGTGCTGATGTTTTTCATCATCAACAACAATTATTATTATCGATATATATGCCCAAAATGTTCCTAAAATGTCCCAGAGAAAAAAAAAAAAAAAAAAAAGTAAAGTACAAATACAAATGCAAAAAAAATGGAAATTTTATTTTTTAAAAATACGGACAATTATTATATTGATGATGAAAAAAAGAGAACAGAGAAAAAAAAAGAAAAGAATCATATCAGAATCATTATCATTTTGAATGAATGAAAAAATTCAAATATTCATTATTATGTTCATCATCATGACAATGTCTAGCTAATTTAGCTTTCAATTCTTGTTCACCATTTTTGACGGCCAATTCATATAGTTTTCCTTGTAGATTACGTTCAATCAATAATGTATCTGTATATAAATATCGTATATAATAATAATAGACAGGAAATGTAAAATCATCGTCAATAATAATTGTATCACCATCTTCAATGTATGGTTCTTGTTCAATAAATTTATGGCGAAAATATTTCGAACGTTCAATAAGGAATGAACGATTTATAAATAATTGACGATCTTGTATTTGTAATCGTATAAATGATGATCTGGTTTCATTATTTTCAATAGTACAATCATTGAAATTATTCAATGATATTAAATATGATGGATTAATGACAAATGATGACAATATGGTCATGCCAATTGTCTGATAATTAATGTATAATGAACAAACATCGGAAATTGATGTCAACCAAATAGAAAGTCCATGAAATGTACAATATCCATTGTCTAAAATGGCTATAAATTCATCATGTTTTTCATAATTTTTGGCAACAATTATTTTTGATACTTTTGGATTTTTTTCTTCATTATTTCGATAGCCATTAAAAGTACGATTTTTTCTTTGTTTAATTAAAGGTTCAAGCAATATTTTGGAATGTTTTTTTGAGCTTGACATTTTCATCCATTTGTGAATAATTCCATTTTCGGATAGTGCAAAAAAATAGCTTGAAACACCAACGATTTGTTTGATCGCAGGAACAGGTGATTCAATTTCCACTTTGATGATATTATTCACAGTACTGTGTGTGTTTTCAAGGGCAAAAAAATCATTATCACAACTACGAAACAATGATCCATGACGATGTGAAGCAATGGCAACAATTTTGATGCCATCCAATTGAGAAAATTGAATTGGATTCGAATAAACATTGTCCTGATCGATTGAACCCCAGAATAATACAATGCCTTTATCTGTAAGTGCAATTGTGTGGCTATAACCACAGGAAATGTCAACAATATTATCGATGATGCAATTTATATGTTCACATTGGGTAATAGTTCCGATACCGATTTGACCTAAATCATTGTTACCCCATACAAATAATTTGCCCGACGAGTTCAAAGCAACCATATGTGTACCGGCTTCTTCTAATCGAAAATCCATTCCATTCAATAATTTTAATTCCATTGGATGTCTTTCAATACTTGCATTGGCATATTCATTTTCATCTAAAAATAAAGAACGTTCATATACGCCAAGTTTATGACATTCATTAATTCCAAAAGCATAAACAGTTCCATTTCGATCAATCCAAATAACAGAACGGCCACAATTGAATACAAAAAATCGATGCATGTTCACAAGTTGTTCATGTGATAATCTTCGTAGAATTGGCCACAATCCTAAATCGTATGTACGGTTTTCCGGATCGTACATTGTTTCCATCGTGTCCAATTTGTTATATGATGATATCGAATAATAAATCAACCAAAAAAAAAGAAAATTAGCACAAAATTCAAAATAAAAAAAAATCAAAACCATATGAAACGATGAACACTAAGAGAGTTGGACAGCATACAAATAAAAAGGAACATAAGCTCATGTGAAACGATGAACGAAGCTATCGATTATCGAATGAGAAAAAAAATTTGAAATTTTGAAATTTAAAACCTTTGATGATGATGATGATGATCGAATTCTTAAAATAACAATCGAATAATGGAAAATTTTTTTCTTTTTAAAATCTAAAATCGAAAAAAAATAAATTCTAAAAACGAATTTGATATCAGAAAAAAAAATGGAGAAAAATGAACGAAAATTGTCAAACTATAATCCCGACCAAAAAAAAATGGCAGATTCAGATAAATGGATAGAACGTTCCATTTTGTTTTTGTTGTTGTTGTTGATTTTTTTTTCATCATCACGATATTTTCAATTGAAATGACAAAAATCAACACCAACAACGATTATTCCAATTCTCGATCCTATTTCGTTTTTTTGGGGTTTTCAAATTCAAATTTATCATTTGACATGAACGAAAAATCTTTTTTTTTCAAGAAATTCGTGGATTCTTCACGCTCCCACACATACACAATCATGCATAACACACACACACAAATTCATGCATCAATTCTATTCAAATTTTTGTTTTTTGTTATTGTTTTATTCAATTTTCTAAAAAAAAGAAGAAAAAAATATGAAAAAAAATGAAAAAAAAAACAAACGCTGGATGATGACAAGATGGCAGCACTGAGCTGCATCTGTAAAAAAAAATATTGGCGACAGCTTGTGTTAGTAATTCGAAAACATTTGTTGTGTGTGTATTATACAAAGACAGAAAAAACGACGACATTCCGATAATAATCGATCCAGAAACACAATATTTGCCTCTTTTCTATTTCTGTGTCTCTTATATTTAATCTCATCTGTATTTGTCATTTTGTTTCTATTCAAAAAATAAAAATTTTTCGATTTTCTTCTTCATCTTTATCATCATCGTCATCATCATCATTCCATTGTTAGTCCTTGTGTGTTTGTTAATTAATTAAATCGCCATTCTATGTGTTTCGTGGTTGTTTGTTTGTTTGTTATATTCTCATTTTCATTTCGGATGTGCGTGTGTGTGTGTGTGTGTTTATTTGAGTGTATATACTCCTCAATTTAGGTTTGTATCCCAATCATCCTTTTTAACCCCTCCCGCATCACCCCATTAGCATTAGGATAATGATAATGAAAAACAAATTGCAATTGTTTCAGTATACTGTTTCCAAAAACATGTATTGGCCATGGCGCTGAGGTTTTTTTGTTGTTTTGTTTCTATTTCTTTTTGGTCTTTTTTTATTGTGTAACCTCTGTCAAAATTTTGTCTCATTACAATTGCTTTTCGTTCATTGTTCCGGAACAAAAACAATCGAATGGTGAGTATATGATGATGATGATGATGATGATGACTGAAATATAAAACAGTGTAAAAATTTATGTCCACCACCGAATTATCATTATTATGATCTTATTGTGTTTTTTTTTCTTTTTCTTTTTCTCGAATCTAAATCTATAGATGAAAAATAACGATTCAGTTGTGTGTGTGTGTCAAAATCATTATCATTGTTGATTTTGTTATAGCAGCAGCAGCACTGCAGAATCTGAATCAATGTCAACGATGGAAATTTTTTTTTTTTTTCTCTCAATAATGAAGAAAATTTTTTGCACACTCAGTCAATTTTTTTTTGATTTTATTCTTTTGCTGATTTCTCCTCATACTCTCTCTCTCTCGGTCAGGCAATGGTAGGATTATATTTTTAGCTTTTTTTCCATGTTTTGATTGTAATTCTTTCTTTCTTTCTTTTAACCATTTCACACACAGTTGTTATCGGTACTTGGATGGATGGACTTTGATTGTTCCAGCGATATGTTTTTTTTCTCTTCCTCACTTTTCTGCTCCTCATCATCATCATCGTCTTTCACGTTTTTCGATATATTATTGCCATGATCAGCGACTGTCAAAATATCACGAAAGCAAAAAAAAAAATAACAGGAAGCAGAATTTTAAAAATTTACAATGCAAACAAAAACCAAATCAATGACGTCCAGAACTGTATGATTGAATAAATGAATCAATGAATGAGCCAAATAAGCATTATTTTTCGAGTTTTTTCTTCTTCTTCTTCTTTGTCAATATTCGGCCATCACATGTATATATATTGTTATCATCGGCTAAATGTGTGGCTTTCTCAAACCGATACAAAATGAAAAAAGAAGAAGAAGAAGAAGAAAAAAAAATGATGATGACGGACAAAATGCTCGGAAACTAACGAATGAATTTTAAAAACTCAAACAAATATTTGAACATCTTTGGTTTGGTTCAATTTTTATTTCTGTTTTTGTTAAAAAAAATCATCGTTTAAATGTGAATCGGATCAAATTGAATCTTTGATTTTTGTTTTCTTTGAACACATTCAATGCCAAATATTCCATACCATTCTATTATCATCGAATGAATTTACAGCCAATGACCATTGTTCAGTTTTCTTTCATAGTTAATGGTCTTTGGATCTTGGATGTTTTATTGCTTCAAAATCGATCGTTTTATTTGGGGAATTTAATGAATCTTCGAATCAATCAATGTAAGTGGTAAAATAATTTATTTTCTCTCTTTTCCATAATACAATATCGATTTGTTATTATTATTCGTCTACAGAATTGAAGCTATCAATATCGAACAATAATTAGTTCGAAGAAGATCAATCGGATTTTTTTTATTTCATTCGAATATAATAATAATATGAAATATGAAGAAAAAATTACATGGATCAAATGATTGATCCGTTTCATTCATTCATTCATTCATCCATTCATCCATCCATCCGTTGCCATCAAAGTTGCCGATGATTATGAAGAAGAAGAAAAAAGTTTTTTCCCTTCCACATTCTACCCAAATATCTTTCACTTTGAAACTTGGCAATAATGTATTCGATGATAACATTCGATTCGATATAGTTGCTTGGTTTCATTTCTCATTGTATTGTGTGGTATTTATATCATCATCATCAATGAGCATTAATCGGATCCATCATCATCGTCGTCGTCGTCATTTCTGGAATGTCGACCAAATAATATCGACATATTAGAATGAATCGAAGAAGAAAAAAAAAGAAAGAGTCAGAATCGGGAAGAAGAGAAAAAAAACTCGACATAAAATGAATCTACCCCATTCGATCCAACCAAGTAATATCTTTTCTTCTTTTTTCTATGTAAGTTTTTTTTTACTATTTTTTTCCAATACGATGATTTTGCCAATATAAACCCTGATCGACTGATCATACTTATTACTTACTTATCATCATCAACAATGTGTGTGTGTGTGTGTGATCCCTCAATATACGACCATCATTCTGGATCATATAATATGATCATCATTAATCGACCCAATCGGATGGATATAAATGGGGGATGATAAAAAAATGAGAATATTCCTTTGATGATGATGATGAGACAGATTGAGATGTCTCTATTTCTAAAAATAATATCTTCATAGTGAACAAAAAATTCCACGCGATTCTTTTCTCTCTCTCTCTCTTAGCTCCATCATCATCATCATCATCATCATCATCGATAAAGTCTATACATATGATACAGTCACATTTTCCAATGTGTGTGTGTGTGTATGGGTTACACTAACCAAAAAAAAATCACTAATATTCGTAAGTTTCAATAGAATGAAACATCCGTTCATTTTGCTTGCATTTTGCCCACGCACACATGGAGAGAAATGGAGAGAGAGAGAGTTATGATAGTTTTGTTCACAGGCTATCGCTTATTAGTTTTCTGGTTATCCAACTTTTTTTTCGAGGGGTTATTTTTCCATTTGTGTGTTTCTTGGATCCAAAGAAAAAATCCAACTTTGGAAGGGAAAAAGGAAAGAAAAAAAAAGTTCTTTTCCTATCAATGTATGTCTGTCATTATTATTTTTTTTTTTCACTCATTTTTTTCTCCAATTTTTTTTCCTCTTTTTTGATTCAGTTGTGTTCAACTTTTTTTTCGGCATTTCTCTCTCTCTCTCTCTTATATACATTCAATTTTGATCGTTGTCGCCATATATATTCCAAGAGAGTTTGTATATCACGATTCTGAAACAAAAAAAATTATACCATTGATTATGATGATGAAAGAGTTTTTTTTTCATTTTCATTGTATTATATACATTCTATGGATAAAAATCAATGACAGAATTGTGCCACATTCTATTCTATAGAATTTGTTGTTGTTGTTGTTGAACATAGTGGTGGTAGGTCATCGATCGATATTTTAACTTTCGAAATAAACAACATACTGTTTGTTCATCATATGGTGCACACACACACACACACACATTCAATTTGATGATGATTCAAAGTTTTCTCTCTATTCTATAATACTCATCAACGTTCTAGCAAGAATTTGCCATTCCAATCATTTAATTCTTTTCTAACCCATGTATGTTTGTTAGTTTCAGTTCATATTTTCATTTCATTTGTCAATTTATGGCCAAAAATAAAAATATTGGCCAAATCTATTCCTGTCTGGGACAAAACACACACACATACACACACACACACACACACACACACAGTACTTGAATCGTGCTCAAAACACAGATTCATTAGATGTGAATTGAAAACGAAAAAAAATGAAATGAAATAATAACTGTTTCAATGGTGTACCCTCTCGTAATCATTATCAACATTCTCCATGTCAATTATTAGAGTTTATTCGTCATCTATTTTTTCATCATCATCATCATCAAGGTTTTTTTTTTTTGCAAAAAAAGCAATGCAAAAACATGAAGTGAAGCCATTCTGTGTCCATTATTATTGGCACCATCATCATCATCATCATCATTGTTGAATGTGAATCAGAAAGAGAAACAGGAAGAAATTTTTTATGGAGAAAAAAAAAGTTTTCAGTCTCCATTCAGATCCATATATATTTTTTTTTTCCTTCACAGTCTCGAATCCAATACTGAATGGATACAATCCGCTTATTATTTCATACATGAAATTTTTTTTATAATTCAATTTTTTTCTCGTTTTCGCTTGATTCGTTTGAAGAATTTTTTTTTTTGCAAATTTTTTTTGTTTTCACATCTGTTTGTAAAATCAGAATTTATTTATTTTTTTCAGTATTTTTTTGTTCCAGCTTGTTTTTTTTTTTTTTTTTTTTTTTGGTTTGAGTTCGATAACTTTTTTTTCTCATTGAAGCCTTTTCTTAAATCCCAGAGAGTTTGTATTTCATTTCCATTTTATTCGATTTTTTCTCACTGTTTTTTTTCTGTCTAGTGTTTAGCGATTCACCATTGAAAATGAAACAATGTTTCTGATAAATTGTACAGAATATATTGGTCAATCATCATGATCATGTAAAGTAGCAGTAAAAAAGAATAAAATTGAAACTTAAAAATCTACGAAATTTGTTGTTTTATGAGAGAGAGAGAAAATAAATCGTTCGTTTTTATTTCTCTCAGTTTTTACAGATGAAGAATTCCAGAAACGAATAGCCTATTTTTAAATTTGAATTTAAAGTTCTAAAATTCTTTAAAGTTAACAATAAAAACGATGGACAATGGTATGTGTGTGTGTATTGACTGCTACAGAAGATACGATTCGATAAAGAAGATGAGAATGGAAAGAAAAATATTCAATGCATCATCAAAAGTAGAATTTGATGCTTCTGCCAATGATGATGATAATGTTCAACAACAACAACGACGACGACGACGATGATGATGACGAAGAATTCAAAATGAAATGAATTGAACGATGAAGAAAAACAACGCAAACTCTTAAACTTTATGTTTCCTATTACGATGCGTACACGCAAATTATATACAGATATTTCAATTGTCCTGAAATAAAAAAAAAATTTGATGCTGATACTGATGATGATAGTGGATCCAGGATCGAGAAGTTTCAATTGAAACCACCACCAAAAAAAAAAAAAAAATACCATTGAACAAACGAACGAACAAACCGACGACGATAATGTTGATGATGACGACAACAATTTTATCCCAGTTTAGTTTAGTTTCTGGCTATCGTTCTTGAAATTCTTCATTTTAGCTTTACTTTAGATTTTCAGTCTGTTCCTGTATGTGTGTGTGTGTGGGAACGGGAAAAAAAAGCTCCCAGTTTGTGTGTGTGTGTGTGTGTTTGTCAGTGTTATTCTTCATTTAACAATTGGTTCTTCATTGCCTTGATTGTTTGGTTGACTTTTTTTTATCACAACAAACAGAATACCATAGTATGGGTATCTGGTTGTGCCCAATTTTTTTTTTCTTCTTCTTTTTCTTCTTTACATTGAAATGAATGTGTTTGGCGCCAACAACTACAACAACAACAACAACAACAGCAACAAACTAATACGGCCAACGGTTTAATATATACATTTTTGTTTTCGTTTATCACCATCTTTATCTTCATGAATGATTTTGAAATGGATGAGTTGAGAGAACAAAAAAATTGAATAATAAATTCGAATGAATGAATGAACGAATGAATAAAAATGTAATGTAATGTGAATGAGATAAATGAAATGAAAATGAATGTGATTATATCAAACAGCAACAGTGGTGATGATAATAATAATAATAATTCAAAAATGCTGTTAAGCGTTAATCTTTTCTGACACATTTCTTTTTTATTGTTGTTGTTGTTGTTGTTGTTGCTGAATTCTTTCACATATAATACAATCTTGTTGTTGTCAACAATAATAATTTCCACTTATGTTTTAATTCTTTCATCACTTGATTTGACTATTCATCTATCAATCAGTATAAAAATGCAGCCTTATGTTTTGTGACCACCACCGCCACCACCATGTTCATTGTTCATTTGCAATCCAATTAACATTTTATTCTTTTCATCATTCAGAAAGAATTTTGAATTTTTTTTTTTTGAAATTTTATCTCAACTTTTAAAGCTTACTCATTTATTCTAGAATGAAAAAAACCGGAATACAATTCTGTATAATTCTGATGATATACAGAAAAAACGTCTCTCTGTTAATTGGCTCAGTATTCTGTTTTCATTCATCTCTCATGTAATTCGTTTTTTTTCTCTCATCAAAATCCTTCCGATTGTCTTTTTTTTTTCCATTCGGTCAATGATCGGGTATTATCATTTTTTTCCTTGTTGTTAATTTAAATTTTGAATTTTTTGTTTTACATTCTAATTCTACACACACACACACAAAAATTCAAAGAATAAAGAATAATAAATAATGAGAACGTATGAAATGCAATTGTTTTCCACTGTTAGTTCTCTAGTTCTCTTCATCAAAAAAAAAAAAAAATGACAACAACAACAAATAACTAATGGAATTTTCTCGAAAAAAAATGTTCATGTCTTTTTGTGCGTGTGTGTGTGTGTTTAGTGCATTTCTCTAAATTCTTTTCCATGTTTATTGTCTATCACAATTGTGAATAATTTTTTTTTTTGCCTATTGCATCACAATGAAAAACTGGACTTTTTGAAAAGTTTTTCACTTTCATTCATCAACCAAAACAACAATCCAAATGGTGTATGGATGAATGAATGAATGAATAAATGAAAATTTTGAATTTCAATTTCATTTTCCAAAATTCACATCTCCAGATTTATCTGGTTTTTTTTTAATGTGGAAAATGAAAATTTTTTTTTAAATAGACTTGTTGTCTAGTTATGTCTAGTGTGTTGTGCCTGAATTACTATAGCCATTCTAGCCTAGATTTTTGTTTAATATTTTGTTCTAGGCCCATCTTCATCATCATCATCATCATGACAACAACAACGAAAATATTGACTACTCTTTTTTCTATGTGTGTGTGTGTAGTTGTGACATACATCTGGTTCAAGAATAATTTTTTCAAGTGCTGGTAATACCTTATACAACAACTTTGGTGATGATGTTTTAAAACCAACTATAACTGACTACTGAAACTAATAAATACTGCAAAACATCAGTTGAAGTTGAATTTGTTGAATTTTTTAATAAGTCAAAAATATCGCACATCACACACGCACCACATCGAATCAATCATTCTGATGTTCAATATGAATATTGTGACAAACTACAATGAAGAAATGAGTGTTTTTTTTTCATCGAAAAAAAATTCTTTCAACAACAACGACAGCAGCAATTATTTGTCAATTTTAATTTTTTTTTTTTTTTTTTTTTTTTGATCATCTACTAGCCGTGTCACAGAAATCAATGTTTTGTGTAAAAAAAATGGACAAATAAAATAACGGTTTGTCAAACATTGAACAAACAGAAAAAAAATGAACATGTCATACATTTCATCATCATATGAAATTCTATGATTTGACATAACATATGATGATGATGATCATGATGATACGACTTAATTATATGATTTGATAACAACGACGAATTATTCTGTATACAAACATCAATGTGTCAATGTCGTTGTCATGTCATTGTCGTTTATTATTATTATTATCATCATCATTATATTTAATATAAAAAGCCAATAACCAGCCAATAGTATAGTAGTAGCTTTTAATTTGAAATTTTCTATCGAAAACGAAGAAAAAAAAATTTTTGTTCATCATCACCATTATTATCATCATTTTTTTCTGGTTCATATCAGAACTAGTAACAACAACAACAACAACAACAACAACAACAACAACAACGACGACGACGACGACGACGAATTCAATCGAATCGAAAATTATTTTTCAAGAATTTTTTTTTTGTTGTTCGATTATTATACACTCGACACGTTTTCTTCTTCACACTCACTCACTCACTCACACTTCATTCATTCATTCAATGATCGATATTGATTAATGATTAGAAACGAAAGAGCAAGAAAAAAAACCGGATGGTCCAATTGAAATTTTTTTTCTTATGACCATAACAACAACGAAAAAAAAAGATGATCAACATTTGAAAATGAAAAGAATGGTGAAGCACACAAAAAAAAATCCGGCACCAGAATCAACAATGATTCTAGTAATAACAAAAAAAATGACAATGTGAACACAAACAAACACGAATCGAAGAAAATAAACTAACTGCTCATCATCAGAATAATTTCAAGAAAAAGAGAATAATCGACAATTCATTCGAATCCAATTGGAAATCGAATGATGATGATGATGATGATGATGATTCTTTCACGACACCTCCTTCATTCATATATAACGACATTTAAGTGTCAAACAAATCGAACATGTCATCATCATCATCATTATCAATCGAAACAAACTTATTGTATAGAGGAAAGCAGAAAAAAAACATTGACAACGACGACAACAACGACTACATCATCATTGATTTGTTCCTTTGATGATAGAAGAATAAAGCTAAACACATAGGAAAAAAAAGCTAGATAAGAAGAATATTCTCTAAAATGACAACAACTTTTTTTTTGTTTTCTATTGCTTGAAAATCGAAAACAAAACTGTCGATGTTTTTTGTCGTCGTCGATGATGATGATGATGATGATGAACCAAGAAGAGAGAGAAGCGTATATTATTCGTATTTGATAAAAAGAAAAAAAAAAAAAAAGCTAATAAGACGGATTGGGAAAAGAAACGTAACATACAAAAAAAAATAATAATGATAACAACGACAACGATGAAATTCTTGCTATTGTCATTATTCTGTGTGTTTTTTTTTCATTTCAAGAATTTCTCTCTTTCATTTTCCCAGATTTTAAGCCATAATCATCATTATGAAGAATAACACAAAGCAACAACAACAAGAATCTTCATGAACAACTTTTAATCTTTTATTTTCAAATCATTTTTTTCTGTTTTCATTCATTTTAGTTGTCGTCGTCGTTGTGTGTGTGTGTGTGTTTTGTGGAAAACAAAAGAAAAAAAATCGGCTTTTTTTCCAATCCGGCTATATTTTGGATTATTAGAATTTATAATCATCATCATAATAATAATGATGATGATGATGAAAAAAAAAAAGTTAAATCAAAGTTTTTTCCTATTCAATGTAAAGATCTTTACATCACTTCATTGATCCCCTCATCATCATCATGATCATGATCATGATCATGATCATCATTATGAACACCGTGTCTTATTTGTTATGATAATTGAAACTCTAATTGGTGTTGGTGGTGTGTATGTGATGTGAGTTGATGTGATTTGTTGTTGTTGTGTATTGCTCGTGTTTTGTTTTTTATTTTTTTTTCGGTTGTTTTTAATGACAAATGAAAAACTTTTTTTTTGTCATCCAAAAAAAAAGAAGAAAATTCTGTATCCATTTTCAGTATCATTATCGTAATTCTTTGGATTTTTTCCAACTTCGATTCGATTATCAACAACTTTTTTTTTGTTTCCTTTTTCACATCAATTTAATTTGTATACAACGATGTAATGAAAACAAAAAACAATATCATCCATTCGATGTAATGAAAAATCACAAAACAATATAATCCATTCGAATTCGAATTCAATACGAATTTTTTCTCTCTCTCTCTTCTACGCCTCTCTCTCACCCCAACGATCATTAAAGGGCTTTGTCCGATGACCGCCACTTCCTCAACATCATTGATGCTTCAGCAAAGATCATCTGGCTATCACATTTTATCTGTTCAACTTCGCGTTGATTGTTGGCGGAAAATATCAGGTCATCGACATACAGTCCATTAATTATCGCGTTCACCGTTTGAGGATATTTGGATCGATACTGTTTTAGATGATGCATCACCACTGCGTATAAAATGAACGGACTTGAAGAAAGGCCGAACGGCAGCCGATTGAACTGGTAACAAACCGTGTTTTCGTCATTATCGATCCATAAAACTTGACAAACTTTTTTATGTTCAGGTTGTGTGCGATGTTGTGAAAGGCAGATTTTATGTCACTGATCACTGCCATGGTCTGCAAGCGGAAGAACAACAATGAGCGGATGATATACCAAGCTGTCACGCCTTTGAAAATGGCCTTGTTAAGTGGTTGTGTTCCGTTCGAGGCATTAAATACGATTCGCATTTTCATTGGTGTTTTATCATTGCGTGTGACCACAAAATGTGGCATATGGTATCCGTCATCAGGGGTTGGTTGCCACTTGTTCAACAATTTTATTTTTGGACCAAATCGTCTATCAATTCTTGATATCCGGTTCGTCTTTCGTTTGTCATGTGTTTTACCATGCTCCACAACTGTTTCTTGGCCGCATCGAAATTTGGTTGAACTTTCACATTTGGGATAAACGGCAATTTTACTGAATATCTTTTTCTTGTTGGTCGTACTTGACACTATCGCCGGTACAATAGGTTTTCAGGAATTTTCCATGACTGGTACCATAATTCATTTACAATTTCATCATTAATTTAGTATACAATCCATCACATCATCATCATCATCATCTTCGTATCCACAGCAACTGAAAATAACTGAATCAAATTATTATTTTTTTTTTGTCGTCGTCGTCGTCTTATAATCGAATTTTTTCTCTCTCTCTCTCTCTCTCTCTGTCTCTGGTTCACCATAATTCATTTACAATTTCATCATTAATTTAGTATACAATCCATCATCATCATCATCATCATCATCTGTATCAACGACAACAACTAAGAGCATTATTATCTCGAATGTGTGATCATTATGATGATGATGATAATAATAATAATGATGAGAATGATGATCAACATCAAATTTCATATTTTAATTTTTCATATCCATCATCATCATCATCACCCATAATTTTGTCAATCGCTCATATCATCATCATCATAGAATTCGTTTACATATTTTGAAATTTTTCATTTCTCAGTTTCAAATTTTTTGTTTTCCGTTTTTGTTTCTGTGTTTATCGAAAATTTAACTTATTCATCATCATCATCATCATCATCATTGTCATTTGCCCAGAGAGAAAAAAAACCAGCAAAACAGGAATACCTAACTAATTGCAACTAGCCAAGCCAGAAAGATAAAAAAAATGAAACAACAGGAAACATCAAAAATGATCGTTATGATGATGATATTCAAAATAATATTGATGCTCATTTTCAATGTGGCCTTATTATCCGGTATGTGTTTATTTTTTATGATATTTTTGTGTGTGTGTGTGTCAGAATTCTAGTTGAATCATTCTGCCTTACTTTTTGAGCTTATTTTCATTTTTATTATCACATCTAATGATGATGATGATGGTGGTGATCATTATTCGTTATTTTCTTGGAAAATCATTCCAAAATAATAGAATCGAAAACCAAAGATAAAGATCAAATTTTTTCCAGTTCAATGTGTGTGCTTTTTTTCTGTGATTAGAATTTTAATTTTGACCACAGATGTGTATGATACCATAATCACCAAAAAATAAAAAAAATGTTGAACGATCAAACCTTGAAACGATTGATTGATTTTGATTTTGTTTTTTTTCTACATTTTGTCTTCATTAATTCATTCACATCTTCGATAGATATCGAAAAACATTGTATTTTTTTTATTGTAAGAAAATTCTAGTTAGAAAATGAAATACTTTTCTGGTTCCTTGTTGTTGTTTTTGTCGTTTTTGTGTTTTTTACCTTCAGGGTTCCTGGTATTATTATTATTATTATTTTTTTTTTTTTTTTTTTGGTTCGTTTCGTTTTGTTTTCGATCCGTTCGTTTATTATCATTACAACAATCGATCAATGAATGAATCAATGATATAGTGGACAAGAATTTTTGTTTTTTTCTCTTTTTTCTCACTTTTTATGAATATATTTGAGCCATATGAATGAATGAATGAATCCTGGATCATTTATTGCGTGCTTGTGTGTGTGTGTGGATGCATAGATTTTGATCTTTTGTTTTTCTTTCTCTCTCTCTCTCTCTCTGTTCACATACAAATTTTTTTCCATATTTCATCGTTGTTTTTGCTTGTTTGCGAACAACAAATTGCCCTGCAGATTTTTTTTTTCTTCACTAACCAATATGCAAATTGTGCACAATGTGCACGAATGTATGATGGAAAAAAAATTCTGGTTTGCTTTTGTTTTTATATTTCCTATATATATGCAACAAAACGAAAAAAAAACGATGGAAACAACAACACAAACAATTTGATAGCGATGAGTAAAATATTCTAATATAATATGAAATGACACCCACAACAACAACAACAACAACAACGTGACACAAAGAATCCTGAATGATCCGGAAACATTTATGGAAAAAAAAATTTCGATTCCTTGTTGCTGTTGTTGTTATTATTTTGTCTTTAGGCAATTTTTTCCATTTTTTTTTTCTTTCTTTCCTTGAATTGTTTAAATGGATATATAGTAGGCTGTGATGATGATGATGATGATGATTATCATTATTTTAAAATGCCGACACTACATACAGACACATAACACACACTTATTGTTCATTCACATAATAATTTCATAAGAATTATATAAATTGCCCATAAGCTTAGAATTTGTGATAACAATCACTATTCATTTTTTATTCATCAAAGAATAGAAAAAAAAGAGTGAATTTCAAATTCATACGATGATGATGATGATGATGACAACATTTGATTGTGATCGATTGTGTTTGTGTGTGTGTTATGTACGATTGAAAATGAACAAGTTTTTTTTTTTTGTTGTTGTCGTCGTTGTTGTTGTTGTTGTTGATTCGTTTCGTTTCATTTCAACTCAATTCGATTCAATTTCAATTTCCCTTATGGAATATATATTTTTTTTTTGCTTTCTGCTTATCGTTTCATTCATTCACACCATCTTTTTTTTTATTTTCTTTCACACGACTATTCTTGACATTTAAATGTGTGATAAAATGTGTACGAGTGTGTGATAGAATGTGGAAAATTATGTTGTCAATTTTTTTATTTTATTCTTTCACCATGGCAAAATGTTAAATGATTGTTCTATATTCCATAGAATGAAACGAATTCAAGAAAAACTAGTTTCGTTTCCTGGGTGGCATGAATGTGTTGGATTCACTGGTTGGTTAGATGGTTGGTTGTTTAGATGTCTGGATGGATGGATCAAATGATAGGCGCCAGAATTTTTTTTTTGTTTGTCTCTTCATCTTCTTTCTTTCGTTTTACATTGGAACACACCATTTCAAATATTCTATATTCGTTTCTTCATCATCAGAATTTCAATTGTCTTTTCATTTACAGAATGGAATGAAGCGAACGAATAAAAAGAATATTCTTTGGAATTTGTTCTTTTGTTATTCTTTATTATCGTGTGTATGTTGTTGTTGTTGTTGTTACTGTTATTATAATTTTTATTTTCATTTTCACACTTTGTTTCTTTCATCTTTCGTCGTTGTGGTCGTCATTTTTTGTCGTTTCACATTTTCATTTCTCGATTATATGAACATAATGAATGGATAAATACAATGATTTTGGCCATTTTCAAAATCAAAACCAAAAAAAAAAAAAAAAAAAGTGAGAGAAAAAATATACGCGACCATTCATTTGATCCGCTTTTTTTTCCTTCTTAATATCACACAAACACTTTCTTTTCCACACTTAAAATGTTTGTTTGTGTGTGTGTCATGATATGGCAATTGCTTTTTTTTCTACTGGTTGTTGGAACCGCATACCAAATTACTATGATTGTCATTATTATTATGATGATGATGATGATGATTATGTGATTATTTTTGTGTGTGTGTGTGTGTGTGTATGGACGTGTGCACATTTATAGCTTATATACACACATTCTTGTTTTGTTTGTATGTGTGTTTGGCCGCTTGTTTTTTCTTCTTCTTCTTTGGCTAGATTTTATTTCTTTTCATAACTAATGCTTATGATGATGATGATGATGATGATTATAATGATGAAAACGAATTATTATTATATCCTGGTTTTCTCTCTCTCTCGCTAGCGCATGAAATATACTTATCAGATGTTTTTTTTCTATGTGTGTCTGTGTGTAATGAATATTCTTTACTGAATTGAAATATGATGATCGTCTTGAATTACATGATGATGATGATGATGATTATAATGTATTTTTATGTGTGTGTGGATGACTGAGTGAGTGAATGAGTAAATGTTGTGAAAAAAAAGTTGTGATTGTGAAAGAAAATATAAATATAATATTTTTTTGTGGAAGTGAAGAAAAACTAAGAAAAAAAAACAAAGTATTTATATGATGTGAAGTATTGTTTTTCTCTGTGGAATATTTTTTGTTTTGTTTTGTTGATGAATAAAATGAATATCGAAAAAAATTCTTGTGATTCATTTGTTGTTGTTGTTGTTGTGGCATCAATTTCATGGAATTCTTCCATCATCATCATCATCGATGACGAGTTTTCAAAATCATCAAATGTGTGATTTCTTTTCATCCAGGATCGAATGGCGTAAAATTAGAATAAATAATTTTTTTTCTGTTTTTGTTTTCGATGAAAATGATCAAAGAATATCATGTAATCAATCTCAAGATGATGATGGTGATGTGTTGACTTTCAATAATGAAATGTGATATAATGCTTTTACCGTTACTGGTACTGCTGCTACTACTACATTATGATAAGCGATTGACAAACAAAACAGTTTGAATGATGAAAATAAAGAATGGGATTTTGGTTCCACTTCTGGATTCTTCACTATTCCGTAATTTCGTTGCAGTTTGCAGATTTTTTTTTTGTTTTTTTTCCAGAACCTTTTCATATTGTTATTATGGTGATTATGATGAAGAATTTTTTTTCGCCTTGAAAATTGCCTTTTTTTAAAAAAAACAACAAGCATCCAGAAATATTCAATTATTATTAACTCGATCTATTTGATCATTTTTTTCAAAGTATTTAGTACAACGTGCAGCAAACAGTTTTCTATCTTTTTTAGTTGATAATTTAAAAAAAATTCTGTTCATTTTTCCATCAAAAAATTTTCACATTCATCTTTTTTGATTCCTGTATTTTGTTGTTGTAGTTGTCGTTGGCGTTGTTGAGTAGATTGAATCAGTACAACTTAGACAGAATTTTGATACATTATCTCAGCCATTTTTTACTCATTCTAATGTTTCATTTTTCACTGTTTCGCTTTTTTCACTCTTCATCTCAATTCTATTCTGGAATTGATTATTATTGTATGCACAACGATATTTTTTTGGTTTTCTGTTTTTTTCTGTTTTTTTTTTTTTGAATAAACGATCCATCCATTTAATACATCCTTCACAATCAAGAAAAAAAAAACATATCGAAACGAGAGAGAGAAATTATGATTGAATTTGATTGATGTCTTATGCGGGGAGGTGGGTACCACACGGCCATTTTTTTTCTTGCTTGACTGTGTGTGTATAATAGATGAATGATTGTTTGATGGTCATGGGTATTATTTAATGTGGCCACGAAAAACAACAACCAGCTAGGAAGTGGATAATGGTGATGTATATATCATTCAATAAAAAAACAAAAAAAAAACAAAGATAGAGTGAGATGGACAAAAACAAACGACCCAAACTATCCGTTGGACTTTGTGTAGGTGGAGTTTTTCACTCAATCTTCCCCTCTCTTATTTCATTGATTTTGATTGATGAAATCGCTGTATGAACACATGCAATGATCATTTCATTTTGTTTTGTTTTTTTTTTTGCCATGCTTTTCTATTTTTAGCTTATATAGTAGAGATTGTTTACTTGTTTGGTTGTTTTTTTTCTCTCTTCGTTCAATAGATCATTTTGTACTAGTTTTTTTCTTTGATTCCGTTATTTAATAATAATAATAACAATGATGATGATTAATAAAATATTACACACACACACACACACACACACACATCATCAAGAATCATTATTATCAATAAGGGTTGTTTTTTTCCATCGTTGCTGTTGCTGCCTCTGCTGCTGTTCAAGTTATCAGAATCAGAATTATACATGAACCAAAGTTTTTTTTATCTGTTTTGGATAGGAAAATCGAATATGATTGAATTCTTGTGAAACGGACGCCCACACACACACACACACACACACACAAACACATGATATATCCGAGTGTTTGGCAGATTTATTATTAATTTTTTTTTGCTAATTTATCTTTCTTTTTTCGATTCTTACCATTCGATTCACACAGTGGTTGTATGTTA